CTGAAGCTTACCAAATATATATGTGTATATCTATCTATCTATAGATATACACATACATACATAATACATACATACATATATAATACATACATATATTTCTCCCAAAGGCATATTACAGCCTTCTTGCATTTAGGTTCTAGGCATTAGCATTAGGGCACTAGGCTTGGGACCATTTTAAATAGCAAACTCACCAAAAGAGAGAAAGGGCACCTACAAAAAAATAGAGAAATGTGGCAATGAGTAGGTCACACAAAAGATGCTTGTTTATAAATGAGAGCTGAAACAAGCAAGCCAAGCCTCTCCTTGCTCCACTGCAGCTGGGAAGAGACTTAGGGACAACTCTATTTTCACCTCTGCCCACAAGTACTTCCACAAACAGCTGCCAAAGCGCCACAGATGTTGATTTGAAAGTTCCAAATAAAATTTAAGACTAGTTGAATTTGTGGCTTTAGCTCACGGCTCAGAAGCCAATCCCTGCAAAAAAGCATAGTTGGAGTTTGTAAAACCTCAAGCCACAAATCATGAAAAATCAACTATTGATTTTTCTGAATTTTTCTGATTACAAAATTAATATAATAAGTGAGTAACCTGAGGAAATGGATGAGGTTAGGAGAGATTGGGAGAACAATGGAAGGGATGGAATGATCCAGATGCATTGTACTCAGAAACTGACATGTTGAATTGATAGCCCTTTGTAGAACACCTGAGTGATCATGTTTAAATAAATGACAACTGACAAATAAAATGAAAAGAACAAAAATATAATAAGCAGAGATACATTAAGTAAAAGTTAAAGTTCTTTCATAATTCCAACCCACAGATGAACATGATTCAAATTTCTATATGATTCTGAAGAATCTTTATTACACAAATAACACCTTGTTTGTAAATTATGCCCAGGTCTGTGTGTGTCCATGTATATTTGGGTCTTCCTATTTTCCTTTTTTCTTTCATTCAACAATTCCTAAAAAAAAATCCTGATGTTATTTCTTGCGTATGAGTGGAAGCCGGTGGCTTGCACCACAGTCAGAATTTTAAGTCTTAGTTCAGACCATTGATTCCCATTCATGTCAGTGGGATGCGACTCCACATTCAGAAACCCAGTATTTTTTTTCCTTTTCTTTTCTCTGTCAGCCCTTTTGAAGCTGAGTTCCCTGACGTATCTGTGTTCCAATTCAAGGGGAGAGGAAATGGAGCATGGAAGAGCAAAAGTCCACTGCCTTAGGCCTATTTCTATTTCTGATCTCTTGGAAAGAGTTAGCTAGTCACAAAGCCATACTCTGTTGTAAGAGAAGCTAGGAAGTTCAGTCTCTAGCAATCTCTTCCAATAGAATAGGAGGAAGAATCTCAGTGGACCATAGAAATTTCCAGACCATCTCCATTCCTTGAGGCTCAGTTAATTTGAAATAATATTTAATAGTTAAGACTGCTATGGGCCAGGTGCTGGTGGCTCACGCCTGTAATCCTAGCTACTCAAGAGACTGAGATCTGAGGATCTCAGTTCAAAGCCAGCCCGGGCAGGAAAGTCCATGAGACTCTTATCTCCAATAAACCACTAGAAAACCGGAAGTGGTGCTGTGGCTCAAGCTGTACAGCGCTCGCCTTGAGCTGAAGAGCTGAGGGACAGCACCCAGGCCCAGAGTTGAAGCCCCTCAACCGACAAGAAAAAAAAAAGACTGCCTTGGGACTCAGACCCAATAATATATGTGACAACACCCTCTACTGTCCTGATATCAAGAATCTCTCCTTGTTCACCCTTCTAGACTGCAAGTTATTTAATAGTAAGGGGCATAGTTTGTTCCACTCACTCACTCAAGGCCTGTCTAGAGTCAATATCAGCAGATACATGTGGACTAAGGAAGTCACCGTTTTGCCCATCATCATGTATTTCATCGTTTCACTTCAAATGCTTCAATACTTTAGACTATGCCCTGTTTAAAAGTGAAAAAAGGAGATGTTTGTCAACAAATCAGTTGGGGTTCTTGGATTGTCAAGTGACAGTCTGCTACTATTAAATTTGCCTGAACAATAAGATGGACCATCTCACATATCCAAAAGGCCAGGATCTACATCAGAGAAATAGCTCTTCCTCCCTAGAACTCTCCTCTCTCCCCCCGCCCCCCAACAGCTCCCAGGCAGTCTGCATCCTTAGACTGGGGGCAAGATGGTTTCTAAAATTCCATGCACAAGGAGACCATTTCCAGAAGTCTTCTCTCCACCTAATAAGCTTTTCAAGACAGACATGCCCAAACCATCACTGGCAGGAACGATACAACCATTATAATCAACTTGGGCCAAACAGAACTCACTTCTAGATCTGGGATAGGGTCCGTCTTCCCTTGGTCAGAGGGATAAAGGGACCCCCTGTACAAAATCACAACTCTGGGTGCAAGATAAAAGTTGAAGAACAGCTGCTACCTGAGCAACCAACTTGCTTCTAGCAATGGTAGGGACACGAATCAGGTGAGGGTGTCTTGGGGGACATATGTACCACAGAGGCTTAAACTTACAGCGTTCTTAAAAATTGCACCTCAGTAAAATTTAAGTCTGGTAAATACATTGCTGGAGAAGGAAGAAACTGGAGACCCTTTTCAGTGTCTCCTCTCCCTTATCCTCATATCCAATCCCTCACTAAATTTCATAGGGTCTTCTGTGCCCAATGGAAAGAAGGTAAGAGATTTCTAAGCAGACAGGGGTGTGTGTGTGTGTGTGTGTGTGTGTGTGTGTGTGTGTGTGTGTGTGTGTGTGTGTGTGTGTGTGTGTGTGTGTGTGTGTGTGTGTGTGTGTGTGTGTGTGTGTGTGTGAAAAGCCATAGAAGTGTGGAGGGAAAGAGCACCTTGGATAAAGGGTGAGTCATTCTGTACTTGGGGGTGGGGTGAGGAAGGGGATTTTGAGCTCTTGTATTTAATCCTTTAGCCTTCTCTCTTCTTCTGTCTCACCTCCAACAGGCTCAATGACAAAGTGACCTCCCTGACCAGTCTTTCTTCCTCCTGCAACCCATGCTCTTGCTGCTATTACTCAACTCAAGACAGACATGGCCAAACCATCACTGGCAGGATCAACTTGGGCCAAACAGAACTCACTTCTAGATCTGGGATAAGGTGGTGATAAGAATGAAAGGTTAAAGTTTGAGGCACTGACCACCACGTGTTGCTTGTTTCTGTCTAGCAAAGCAACATGTGGTGATAATCAAAACACCTGGTTGATTGTGTGCCTTTATAAGACCTGCAAATCCTTAGCTTGGGGCTTTCCTCCTAGGCTGCGCTGTGTCGGAGTGTAGGACGAGGCCAGAGCTGCAGCCCGTTTAAATAAAACAGCTGTAGAGTCTGACTCTCAGTGGTCTTCTTTGGGGGGGGGGGGTTCCTGCGACCTTGGCATAACAGTTGGAGATGCGTGTTAAACCTTCAACAGAGTGAAGGCAGGGACCGGACCCTGGCTCAAGGCTCTGTGCATGTGTAGTGTTGGGCATCCAGCAGATATACAGTTGAGTAATAGCATGAAAATCCAGCCAAATCGTATTTCCTTTTATGAAAGCCCAAAACCTTCAAGGAAATCTTTACTAAAACCTTCTATGCCCTCCATTCTACCCAAGCTTCTTCCCTATCCCACCCCAACGGTACAGAACGGCAGGCATTTTAATCAAGGTGCCCTTCTCTTTCACATCTTTGGCTTTCCGGGTGCGCGCGCGCGCGCACACACACACAATACACATCTGCTTAGAAATCCCTTACCTCCTCTCCATCTGCTACAGAAAATAAAACCTTCCATTACTCTTTCTCCCTCTCTCCTGTCCTAGTCCCCCTTACAGCACCCCCCCCCCCCCCACGCACACACAAATGCAGCACTGCAGAATCGTTTCTCGAGTGGAGGGAACTCCTTGGAGTCAGACACCAGTGAGGACTCTCTCCCATCTTCCCCACTCCCCAAGTACTCCTTAAGAAAGTGAAGGGGAAATAGGACCCTAACGCTTAGGAGTGTGCGGGCCTTGGATTTGCTCTAAGCAAAGAACCTTTACAATCTATGCAAAAAATATATATATATATATCCTCTGTGCAGGTTACGAGTTCTTGATTGTTTTAAGACAGAACATTGTTTCTCCCACGTCTTCAAGCTGAGGATCCAGAAGGACGCTCCTTATTCTTTGTCCTCTCACATTAGCTGCCTCCTCCTCCCCTCCCCCTGCCGCGGGGACCCGGAGCAAGACCTGGATGCGCCTGCAGCGGCTGAAGAACAGCTGGGAGCCGGAGGAGAGCGGAGAGGCGGGGTCTGGTCTGCAGGCCCCGCCTCTCCCCCCACCTCCCGCCTCGGGGGCGGAGTCTCCCCGGTGCCGCCCACGGGGGGCGGGGAGGGACCCGAGGCGGCCAGCAGCTCGGCTCGGCTGGTTCCGGGTTGAGAGGCTGCGCTGGACCGAAGCGGTGGCCGCTGAGCCGGCGTGGGTAAGGGGCCGCGCCAGGCCGGGATCTGTGGCGGGGATCAGGCAGCTGAGCGCGCCCGCACCCTTCTCCTTTGCCCGTCACAGCCGCGGTGCAACTCGCTGTGGCTTCCTCCTCCCCCAGAATTTCCCATCTTCAGCTCTTCCCCCTCCCCCAACTGCCCCCGCCGGGAGATTGCAGCCCCCCTATGTCCTCCGCCCCCTTCCCGGGTCTCCTGCTCCCAGCACCCCTCCCTGCGGACTGTCCCACTCTCTGAAGCCTTCTCGCCGGGAGCATCAGCCCTCGGACACCCTCGGCCTCTCCCCTCCCGCACCCATCGCTCTGGGGCACCCGCTACTACGAAACCGCCCTCCCGGGCTCGCATCTCTGGGAGTCTCCACCCCGCACCCCGTCCGTGTATCGTCTTCTCCCCAGGCTGCACCTCATTCCCTCTCTGGTAGCTGCTGCTGCCCGTGTCGCCACGGGCCTGGGCCCCGCTCAGCTCCCCGGGTGCCGCCCCCGGCCGCGCCGCGCTCGGCCCGCCGCTCCCCGGCCGATCGGGTCCCCCAGCCCGCCGCCCCCGGCACCATGGCGTGCAGCCTCAAGGACGAGCTGCTGTGCTCCATCTGCCTGAGCATCTACCAGGACCCGGTGAGCCTGGGCTGCGAGCACTACTTCTGCCGCCGCTGCATCACGGAGCACTGGGTGCGGCAGGAGGCTCAGGGCGCCCGCGACTGCCCCGAGTGCCGGCGCACGTTCGCCGAGCCCGCGCTCGCGCCCAGCCTGAAGCTGGCCAACATCGTGGAGCGCTACAGCGCCTTCCCGCTGGACGCCATCCTCAGCGCGCGCCGCGCCGCGCGGCCCTGCCAGGCGCACGACAAGGTCAAGCTCTTCTGCCTCACCGACCGCGCGCTGCTCTGCTTCTTCTGCGACGAGCCCGCGCTGCACGAGCAGCACCAGGTTACCGGCATAGACGATGCCTTCGAGGAGCTGCAGGTGCGGGGACCGGGCCGGGGGCGGGGCTGCACCGGGGGCGGGGCTCCGGCACGATCGTCCAGGGGCGGAGCCGCCAGCAGGGTCGGGGACCTATCAGACTTAATGTGAGGAGAGGCGTGGTCGTGTTGACTGGGGGCGTGGTTTTGCCGACGGGGGCGTGGCCTCAGGCGGTGATGGAAGCCGGGCCCTGCCAGGGCCGTGATCGTGGAGACTGATGATATCGGAGCTAGATCAGTTTACTGGTTGAGGTCGGGTTAGGGACATCAGAGCTGGGCAAGGGCAGAGCCACTGTCAGTTTAGGTTACAAGGAGCTTAGTGGTGTAGCCAGGTTTGGGGGCGCGGTGGGAAGGGGCGGGACTTGGTCAGGTGTGCCTCAGGACGTAGAGGGAAGTCAGGTGTGATTGTGTTAGGCAGGTAAGAGTTAAGTGCTTAAGAGAAGGGTTAGAGTTAGGATCAGCCAACTGCTAATAATGCTGGTCTGGGTACCAAAGGTTAGCCCCAAGATGTATGAAGGATTAAGACTGGGGTGGAGTCGTCCATCTATAGCAAGACCCATTTGGATTTAAATCAGAGGAGAGGCTGTTGAAAGTGCATACGTTTCAAGCCTTGAAGAATAAGGCCCAATGGTGATTTGAGAAGGTGGAGGTTGAATATCTAGGAGTCTCCGGGGGCTTTTCATTCTGCAGTGAATGAATTCTAGTGCACTGTCCTGGGGTCCTAGACCTGCTTCGGGCGCTGTCTATAACTCAGTGGAGCCACATGTCAGGTAAACCTTGATACTTGTCATAGTCAGGACCATACCTTCTTACCTGGACTTTCCTGAAGCCAATCTGGCTTGAGCCTGTTATTCTGGATGCCTAAATTGTTGGTAAGAACTGGGACAACATTTGTTCCTATTCTCTCTTCTCCCACGAGAGCTCATTTGTCCTCCCGTAGTGTCCCTTCCCCCACCCCCGACACCTGCCCCACCTGTCTCACCTGATATGGAGGCTTGCTTTGGTATATCCTTTGGAATTGGCTAGGTGGTTGTAGAGAAACCTGCCTCCCCCCTGGGGAGGATATATTCCTGAGTAGGGTTCAAGCCCTCCTCATTCCCATCTGCCTCTGCATCCTAGTGGCTTGTGGGGAAGCAGGACTCATTAGCTCTCGATGCACTGGGAATGAGGCTGCATCTGTCCTCACACTCCACCTCTCCTGGCAGCTGGCAACTGCTGGAGCTTAAGCTGTAGCCTCAGTCCTGGAAAATGACAGACTCAGAGCTGGCAAGACCTTGGAGATCATCTGGTACAACATTTACTTGACAGATGGGGAAACGGCAGGAGGGAGGAAGGAGAGGCCCAGAGCCTTGAAGCCAGAGGAAGCCAAATACTGAGCTGGAGTCTCCATATATCTTACCTCGGAGTTGGCCTAGAGCTTTTACATGTCTTTTACATTCTAGAGGCAGCAAAATGGGAAGACTGAGAACTCTGGCTTTGAACTCGGAAAGCTCTATCCTGGCTATGCTATTTACTGGCTGTTTGACCTTAGAAAAATGACTTGCTGTCTCTGAGCCTCAGGATCTTTATTGATATCATTAACTCTTAATGGGGTTAGGATTAAATAAGAACTGAATTTAAGCACATTGGTGATTCAGTAAATGATAGCTATCACATGTTACATCATACTCTGCACTAATGACATTGGGACCAGGTAATTCTTTGTTCTGCAGGGTTCCCTGTACATTATAGGAAGATCAGTAGCATCCTTGGCCTCTACCCATTTAGTACCAGTAGCAACACCCTTCCTCCAAGTTACAACCAACCAGAGAAATATCTCCAAATATCAACAGATGTCTTCTGAGGTCAAAGTTGCTCCTGGTCAAGAACCTATACTAGTAAAAGCCCACTGGACTTCCAGATTCAGCTCAGTGTTCCTTCTCTGTGCAGCTCTTGTCTTCCTTCCTCTGCCATGCACACTTGCTCTGAACTGCAGATTCTAGGGGGTCTGATCTTGATATGCCACATGTCCTTGGTCAAGTGATGGTTTTGGTTTTTTGTTTTTATGTTTTGGTCAATAATGGGGCTTGAACTCTGGGCCCAGGCATTGTACTAAGCTCTTCAGCTCAAGACTCGTGCTCTACCACTTGAGCCATAGCACCACTTCAGTTTTTTTTCTGGTGGTTTATTGGAGATAAGAGTCTCACAGACTTTTCTGCCTAGGCTGGCTTTGAACCATGATCCTCAGATCTCAGCCTCCTGAGTAGGTAGGATTACAGGCGTGAGCCACCAGCACCAGTGATCTTTGCCAGTAATCACTAAGATCACTAAGCCAGTGGTCTTTGCTAAGCCTCTCGTTGTCATTTCTAACACTAGGCAAAACAACCTTCCTGGTCATAGGTCAAATATGTCTGGAATTGTGCCTGGTTTAAAAAATAGTTATTTCAGAAGTGGAGGTGTGTCTCAAGTGGTAGAGTACCATTCATGAGTGTAAAAGCCAAGCGAGAATGTGAGGCCCTGAGTTCAAGCTCACACACACACACACACACACACACACACACACACACACACACACACACACACAATTTGCATAGGGAGTGGAGAAATATAATGGAAAAGTTAAAATTCCCCAATACTCCCACTATTGCTATAATTACTGTATGTTTATGTAGGAGTAATATGTAACATGTGTGTATTAGTATCTTCCTCCCTGTTTCTATTGCTACTGAATCCACAGAGCAAAGGGGAGGGAGAGGCTCTATCTCCAAAGGGTTTGGGGTTTCTCAACCCATGCCTGGGGCTGCAGTGAGACATTTGCTTGCATTGTCTTGTTGGACCTTCACTGCACCTGCTGGGTAGGTTTGCTGTTATGTCTTCCTTTTGTAGGTGAGGAGACAAGCTCAGGAGCTATGAGATTTGTTTGGCCTTTTTTGCTGGCGAATGACAGGGCCTAGACTTGAGGCCAGTCTGTTGAGCCATATAAAGCCTCTGGACAGTCCTCAAGGAATTGGGAGTGGGGATTTTGTCTCCTACCACCCTGTCTTTGTCTCGAGAACACTCAGCACAATATCAGACCAGGAACACAGCCTGTTAGTACCAGCTGACACCCCAAGGGCAGGTGGCTGGGATGTCATCTTGGTCAGACGTGGCATCCGGTTCTCTGGCCATCTCAAGTTCCTGACCCCTGGAGAGGGGATCTGATTCGACTCTGCCACCCCCTCCAGGTCTCATGTAACCACTGGAGCCTTTCCCAAGGCCTCTTTGATGCCAATAAAGGCAGCAAGGAACAGCCCTTGGATGGGAGCTCTGACAAGTTGGACATAATGATCCAGAAAGCCCAAGGCAGCCCACAAGGAAAGAGTAGAGTTGGGAGTGGTGGGATTCAAATCTTGGCTCTGGATTCTTCCAGGCATGTGGAAGGCTCAGCCTTGTCCTCTCTCATTTCCCCAATCAGAGAAATGAGAGCCAGAAAAGACTGTGCATTTGCTATGTAGAGAGGGAAAGACAGCTGCTGTCTCTCCCAAGAGATGACAAGTGTGAAGGCACTCACGGGTAGGTCAGGGAGCCAGCGGGATTCTCTGAATCCTGGGAAGTGACTGTCACTTTTGTCAGGATAGGACGAAGTCTATGAACACACAGCAGTCTTATGGGGTGAGGAGGGCTGACTCTTGGCATCTCTGCCTCCCTCTTTGCAGCTCTCTTGGTAGTCAGGCAGGAATGTCCAGTTTGGCCAGGCTGATTGTAGGCTATGGAATAGAAACTGGGGATTGAAGTTAGGGACTTTGAGATGATTATTTTCTAGGAATAAAATGATCTGGTGACAATAGCCCAATAATAGCTCTAAAATGTAAGCTATGGAGGCACTTAATTACATGGCAGGTACTATGTGACAAGCATTTTTTAATCTTTGGAACAGCCTCTATCCTCTGGGATGGATAAGGATTAGCACCATTCACTCAGATGATGACCTGAGGCTCACTGATCTCACTCTTAAGTAGGCAGAAGAGCTGGGACCCACTGGTTCTGTCTGGGAAGCCCCTCCTCCTCATCAGCACGCTAACATCTCAGGGCATCAGAAAAGGCATGAGTCATCTGGTTGACCCTCTACATATATTATAAATGAGGAGATTGACTCACCAAGCTACGCACCCACACAGTCCAAGTTGATTTCACAGCATTATCACTTGCTCCTGACCCCCAGCTGTTACCTGACACCTGACCCCCAGCTGTTACCTGACAAGACACTGATGATGGGTGCGGAAGATTTTGACAAGGGCTCTGACTTGGATTCAGAAGTTCACTTAAGAGGGCTGGGAAGATGGCTAGAGGTAGAGTGCTTGCCTTGCATGCATGAGGCCCTGGATTCAACTCTTTAGCACCACATAAACAGAAAAAGCCAGAAGTGGCACTGTGACTCAAGTGGTAGAGTGCTCGCCTTGAGCTGAAGAGCTGAGGGACAGTGCCCAGGCCCACAGTTCAAGCCCCACGACTGACAAAAAAGAAAGAAAGAAAAGAAATTCACTTAAGAATTCTTTCCACCTTGAGTGCAAGCCCTACTGAGATCTGAGGATCACACTGTTCAAAGCCAGATCAGGCAAGAAAACCCATGAGACTCTTATTTCCACTTAACTACAGAAAGCTGGCAGTAGAACTGTGCTCAAACGTTGTAAAGCGCTAGCCTTGAGCATAAAGGCTCAGGGACAGTGCCCAGGTCTGGCCCTCCAAAAATAAATGCAGATAGTGGGAGGCCTTGGGCAAGGGGGCAGCTGGTATCACTAGTAGCAGGGATTGCACAGTCCAAAGGGATCCAGAGGCACAGTGGGAGATGAGGTGATAGAAAAAGTCTACATCACATGTGTGGATTTCTGACATCACAGCCCAAGGGCCCCTCTCATCATTTGATAGTTAAGAGCTAAAGAAATGATGGCTTAAGATCGCAAAGCCAGAATTCAAACCCAGGTATTCTGACTCCAGAGCTCATGCTATCTCCATCGGAATAAGAAAAGTCCCTAAAGCCAGAGCTGAAATATCTTCCTCGGCAGCTTTGTCCCTCTGGGCCAGAAAGAGAGTTAACTAAGAGTAGGCCAATCTGAGCCTTGGCCTTGGGAACATTTGAGTCCTGGCTTCTGGTCAGTGCCCAGTCCCAGTCTCTTCAAACTGATGGGAATGGCCTTGCAACTGACAAATTTGTGTAACTGGGCTGGGAATATGGCTTAGTGGTAGAGTGTTTGCCTAGCATGCATGAAGCCCTGAGTTCAATTCTTCAGTGCCTCATAAACGGAAAAAGCCAGAAATGGTGCTGTGGCTCAAGTAGGAGAGCACTAACCTTGAACACAGAGAGGTTCAGAGACAGAGTCCAGGCCTAGAGTTCAAGCGCCAGAACTGGCAAAAACAACAACAAAAACAACAAAAAACTGTGAAACTGTATGTTCATTGTGACTTACAGTCCTCTCTCTATCCTCACCCAGCTCTGATGGGACCAGCTCTTCCCAGCTGGGACTTGGGGCCTCTGCCACCTCTACCTCAGCCCAGTTCATCCCAGCTGGCCTTTCCAGCTACTTACTCTATTCACCTGGCTCATACCTGGCTTGGGCAGTCCCAGCCTCTCCACTTCCTGCCCAATCAGTCTTCCCCACCTGAAATGGCCTGGCCTATGCTGGAGACTGAAGGAGCCCTGACACCTGCTCATCCTCCATGTGTTCCCAGTTCACAGGCTTGGTTTGAATATACTTATGATAGAGTGACAATGACTTAGGTAGATTGAACTCACTGTGTACAGCATGCGGGGTCAGAGAGGAAGTCATCTGATGGTCACAGTCCTTTGGAGCCAGTGCTGTTGCAACTTACTTATGTGGGGAAACTGAGGTCAAGGGTGAATGTCACAAGCATGACCCACTGATGACAGCTATATCAGTTTCTAGGTAGACTGCTCTCCATGAGAATTGTTTTCTCTCAATATCCGAGTTTCTGCCTCTTCAACAAACTCATCAAATCCCAGGGTGACCAGCACAAAGCCTGATACCCAGTAAGTGCTCAGAAACCACTGCTGTGTTGAGTTCATTGACAGAGAGGCTGGGTAGTTTTAGGGTTACTCAGAGTCTTGCCTCCATCTCTTTCTGTGTGGCCTCAGGCAGGCAAGCTGCCTAACTTCTCTGATCCTTAATTCCTCCATCCATGAGATGGACCTTGCTCTTTGTTGTCAGAACTAGGTGATGAGAGGCCTATGAAATTCAAACCCACAAACCAGGTCCATCTCCTCCCAGCCCCTCTGATCCTGAGCCTCTGCCATGCTGTGGTTACAGAGTCCTGCCTCTTGGTTAGCTCTGTCACTTATGAGTTGATCAACAGGTTCCTGTTTCCTGTCCAACCTCACTGCTGGGAGTCGACTTTCCGGTTTGTTCTACACTGGTGAACTGGGTGGCTATAGGCCAATGACTCCCTTTCCTTGGACTTCTGTTTCCTGTCCTGGCAATTGGAGGATTAGGATTAGAACAGATGGTCCCTCCTATTCTTCCTGCTCTTGCAATTGAGGAGGCAGGGAGGGGCCCCTTGGACACATATGAAGTGTTGGAAGAGCCTCATACACATCAGGACTGCCCATCTTCCAGGCATCTGTGTGTGCCAGTGTCTGTGTCCTGGGAGGCTAAAAACTTCCTGTGTCCTATCTCAACTCTGAAATGAAGTAGTATACCTTTTGCAGGCAAGAGACTAGACACAGAGAGGCTGGGTGACATCCCAGGGACACAGTAGGTGGCAGAGCTAGCCAAGTCCTCACCCAAATCTGTATGACCTAGCCTAGAAGGAGATCTGTGGGTGGAGGGTGATGCAGAACACAGATTGCCTCCTACGCTCTGTCCTGTGAGAGTGGCTTGCTGGGCTGCTACTCCTGTTTTCCTATCTTATCTGATTGCATAGACTGGCTCCCCCCCCCCCCCCCCCCGCCCCTTGCAGAGGGGAGCTTGGACCCAGCCCTGCCTGCAAAGGCAGGTTCATTCTACCAAAGCAGGAGGTCAGGCTGTACCTGGCCCTGTCCTAGGTACTGAGAGTGTGAAAATCTCTCAGACCTGGTCTCCACCCTTATAAACTCAGGTCCTATTAGGAGAGATTAACAGGTAATCTTGAATTAAAATGTAAATAGCCCACAGCCGTGCAAAGTGGGCCTTTCCACACAGGGGTATCTGAGGCAGCACTGGGAGTGGAGGAAATGGGGTCTCAGCAGAGAGGACTTTTAGTCTAGGTCTTAATATAGGTGAGTCCCACAGTAGAGAGAAAATAGGCATGTGAGCATGTGAGCAGAGCGCATGCAAAGGCCAGAGAGAACACTACAAGACACTTGGTGCTATCCAATAGAACGTTCTGGAACACTAGAAAGTTCTACATCTGCACTGACTGGTAATAGTAGCTGCTAGTCCCTGGTGACTATTGAGCACTTAAAATTAGGTCACTACTACTGAGGAACTGATCTTCATTTTAAGTCATTGCAATTTAAATAGCTGAATGGGTTCTTGGCAGCCATAATTGGACCTAGCAAAAGTTGGGGCAGGTGGTAGAAGAACTTGAATTGCCACCCTAAGGCCTTGTACCCTTCTCCCAGACAGTGGAAAGTCTGCAGAAAGACACCAGAGTTGGGGAGAAGCCTTTACACATTTGTTACTCCAGCTGCTATGTCAGGGGCTTAGAGCAGCAGGGAAAAGGCAAAGGCAGGAAGGAGGCTGTACCACAGTCCAGAAAAGAAGGTATGAAAACTGAAAGAGGGGCCATTGTGTAGAGAAGAGATCACATTCCAAACAAGATTGCTGATTGAGCTGACTTGGGGCAGGATGTGTGAAGGGTGAGTCCCTGCTTCTGGCTTGGATGGTGTTAGTAGGGTACCTACCCTTCACAGAGGTGGATAGCATGTTTCCTCAGTGAGGAGGAACAGGTCTGGGGGTTTGCTAACACTGTCCATTCACTTTCCTGTGTCTGTGTTCATGCCTTTCTCCTCAACTCATGCACACAACATGGCATTGTGGGTAGGGGTTTGTCCCTTATCCCTGTTCCCATCTCTGACACAGCACTGTGCAGGCCCAAGGAGACCTCAGCACATTTTATGGAATGAGTGAAGGGAGGTCCTGGAGGAAGGGAACAGGCCAGTCCTCTCATTCACTTAGTCCAACATTAGGCAGAAATTTGTCAGGTCTCTTGGGTGCTAGAGCAGTGTGAGGCACAGTAGCATCCAGAACTGTTTCTCAGAAATACTGACAAACTATCTGGTTGGCTGGGCCCTATATGAACTCATCAGAACCCCAAATGGGGATTGTAGCACTTGGCCTGCCTTAGATATCTCCTCTCTGTCAGATGGAGTACCAAGCTGGACAGACTCAAGGCTGTCTGAGTGCAGTCATTCTGTACTCAGCCAAGAGAAAGGGATACATTAGAAATGACCTGACAAGTAGCTGGATTCCATGTGGAAATCTTTCTCTGTCATAGAAAACAAGTCCATAGGAGAAGATCCAGGCTGTAGTGTTGCTGTATTTGCTGCACCAGCTCCTGAGAGCTGCTTGTATACATCTCTTCCTGACTCTGCACCCAGTGACCTCACACTTGACAAATTGAGATTGCTTTGGCAGGAGCAATGACACCCATAGAAATCGGCAAACACTATCCTGCCTGCCTCCCTCTCCCTCCCTCTTTCTTTCCCTCCCTCTTCCTTTTCCACTTCCTCTCCATTTCTTTCTCTCCCTCCCTACCTCTCTCCTTTTCTCTTTCTCCTTCTTTCCTTCCTCTTCTCCCTATTCCCCTCCTCCTCCTCCTGCTCCTCTTCTTCTTCCTCCTCTTCTTCGTTCTCCTCCTTCACCATTTCTCCTCCTTTTTTTTTTAACCCAAAGAGCTAGATTTCTACATGTCATTGAGCATATCAGTGGCTTAGCTGCTCCACAGTTCTCAGTTCCTTCCTCTAATCTTCTGGCTTGTGACTTCCATATTTACATTTGCCTCATGACCTAAGATGGCTGCTAGAGTTCCAGCCATGATGTCAGTTTCTTGGCCTGTGTGCCTTCCTTCCCCACAACAGAGTGACATAGCCTAGCTTAGAGTTTCAGAGGGTCTAAGTAATGAACACAGACTGAGGGCTGAGAGCAGTGCCTGTTCCAGGTGCGTGCTTAGGGAATGTGAGGGATGAGTCTAGCTATGAGCTATGGTGTATCATGGGTGGATCAGGGTTCTAAATGGGAACCAGTGACTAACTAGGGGCAGAGTTGGGTAGTGTGTGTGCAGAGGTTGTGTGGAGTTGGAGAGGCCAAAAGCCAGAGAGGAGACTGTTGCAAACGTCCAGATGAAAGTGAGGACGGATCCTAGAAATATTTACGAAATGGGCTGAACAGAACCTGGTGGTTGAACTGCAAGGAGAAGGGGTGATATGGATAGGAGAGGGCAGGATAAGGCTTCCCGGATGAGCAGGGCTGGGCTCTCCATCACCGTGGATTCCCAGGTCAGGTGTGGCCTGTCCCCTGTGCTGACCTGTATGTGTTTTCAGAGGGAGCTGAAGGAACAGCTTCAGGCCCTACAGGACAGCGAACGGGAGCACACCGAGGCACTGCAGCTGCTCAAGCGACAGCTGGCTGAGACCAAGGTGAGCTGAGCCTGGCGGGGCGGGGCTTCTGGGGGCAGAGCTATCTGGGAAGGGAGGGGCGTGGCCACGGCTCCACCTGGAGACCTGACTTCCCTGAGTGCCATACCTGGCATGGGAGATCTTAAATGAAAATAAAGAGGAAGACCCACCTCAGGTTGAAAGAAGGCGAGGATTTGAGTTTTGATGTCTGGATGTAGGATGAGTCTGTTTCTTCCAGTTTTGGATGGGAGATGGGATGGGGCCAGGGACCGTTGGAAACCTGAAGGGCTTTTGCTCCCCCTTATTAAGCACAGCGTCGCCCAAAGAGCCAACCATGAGCTTCTTCTGTCCAAGCCAAATCATCTCCCAGCCCTCTTATGTTTAGGCCATAGAGATACAGACTTGGAAAAACAGGGCAAGACCCTGCAGTATCTTGGCTACAGTGGTGGGGGTGGGGAGCTTTTTCTTTAATACTGTGGATTCTAATCTGGGCACTAATTGTGTGACTTCAGATATACTGCATAATTTTCTGGACCCTTAGTCTTCCTTCTGTGCAGTGGAGATGGACGCAATCCAGGGCTGGATGGAGCCTGGAGGGTGGGAGTCTCACTTATAACAGAGGAATTACACATAGTGTGGAGCATGGAGAGCAATTGGCTGGCTCTGTTCTTAAGCAGCTGGAGCAGAGCTGGGGACCTTCAGCCCCCAGAGGTCAGCCTAGGCCCTGGAGAAACCATTGGAAACCCAGATCTGTATCCCAGCATGATCACCAACCCACTGTGAGGTCTCAGAGAGGTCATCCCACACATTTCTTCAGAGAACATTCCAGAGAGCCTTCAGGCAGGACCCTCAATGGGCAACCAATGAGAAACAGGCAGAGGACTATAGCTTTATTGTGGCTCACAGCCTCAGTTTCCCTGTGTAGTTGGTGACTTTGCACCTCTCTGGAGATGAGGAATAACCTCTGAATGAGCAAAGATCTGCAGATCTTTCTCCACCCCACCCCACCCCTAGCAACATTTGCTTCCCTTTCCCACCCCCACATTTTTGTTTTTCTCCAGTGACCTCCTCCTGCCCTGCTTTCCTGTCCATCTGTCTGCCTCTGGGGGGTCTTGTGGGGCTCCCTCCTCCTCCCATTTCCCCCAGCTCTGCTTCCTGTCTGGACCAGTGTATTTATACAAGAAATGCTGATGGAGGTTTTGAGGCCATATTTCACCTGGGGCCTCACTGGTTTTCCTGTGGCGCCTGCCCTCCAGTGGTGGGGCCTGGGGGCCTGTCTGGACTCCCTCCTCTGGCTCTTATGTTTTCCTTGGTCGGCCCAGAAGGTGTCATGTTCTTGGCAGTGTTTTTTCTAAAAAAGCCACTCCAAACTCCATATGTTGCAGGGATGTGGTGGGCCTGGCTGCTGGCTGTTTTTTTCAGCCAAGGCACCAAAAAGGTTTGGGGCAGGGTAGCTCCAGCCTAGAAAGTATTTACTGAACTGAGCTTTTCTCTATGCTGAGATCTATGTTTTCCCTTTATTTTCACCTCTACAACAGCATCACCTTCATGACAGCACAGAGTCTAAGAGTCTACCACTTGAGCCACACCTCCACTTCTGCCTTTTTTGCTGGTCAATTAAAAAGTCTCACATGCTTTTTTTTTTTTTTGGCCAGGTTGGCTTTGAATCTGGATACTCAAATCTCAAGTCTCCGGAGTAGCTAAGACTACAAGTGTGAGACACTGATGCCCAGCTTGGAACTGTTCTTTTTTTGTTGGTCATGGGACTTGAACTAGGGGGCCTGGGTACTGTCCCCTCAGCTTTTCTGCTCAAACCTAGTTCTACCACTTTGAGCCACAGCACCACTTTTGGTTTACTGGTGGTTAATTGGAGATAAGAGTCTCACAGACTTTTCCTGCCTGGGCTAGCTTTGAACTGTGATCCTCAGATCTCAGCCTCCTGAGTAGCAAGGATTACAAGCATAAACCACCAATGTCTTATCTCAGTTTTATCAGCAAGGACACACTGTTCCTCTTTCCCTCCAGACTACTCCGCAGCTCCTGAGCCACAGCCCGATGCGAGGCCCTGGGATGAAGCCCAGGGGACAGGGCTGAGGAAGATATTATTCCTGCCCAGGAGAGGCAGGTCAATACAGTAAGAGAGTATTAAGACAGGCCCTGGAAACAGCTTAACTTCCCTAAATGTAACTAAGAAGGGAGCTTCCAAGCTGAGTTTTAGATGAGGAATTGCCCCCAAGATGTGGCAAACCAAGATTTTCCATCTGCAAGGGGTGGCCATTGGATGAATGCTGCTTCACCATAGGCTAGGAGGAGCCAGATTGGTAATATAGGACCCACAGGCCTGTGGAGGTCAGTTTCAGAGTATGGGGAAGGGAGGCAGACCTCCATCCTCCCCGTCAGCAGTGGCCTCAGCCCTCCCTGGGTGAGGGGCCCTGGGAGGCTGTGGTTGCCTGGCTGTCTCTTTCCAGCTTCTCCTCCACCCCCTCTTTGTCTGCCTGGCCGGCTGGGTGGGCATGCGCAGGGAGGCTGGCCCTCTGCCAGCAGCTTTTCCTGCAGGCCAGCAGCCACTACGGGAGGGAACAGGCCCTAATTGAGCCTTTGTGGAGCCTCCTGCAGAGCCCTGGGCACTGAACACAGTGGGGTGTCTGACTCCATGAACTGCCAGCCAGAAGCCTGCAAAGTGAAATTGCAGAGGCAGGCCCCACATGCTGCCGTATCCTATGTCGCCTGCCTCTCAGCTTTCCTCAGGCTGTGCCCTTTGCCCGTCATCCACCCACAAGGGACGCTGTCCACTCTCATAGATGTCCTGTTCAAAGCCATGAAGACTCCCCAGGGGTGTATGTCAGAATTCATCCCTTTGCTATACCCAGGCTCTGCCTCTCAGCTGATGGACACCCCCTCACTTTGTCCTCAGCAAACTCCTGCCATCCGTGGCCTTTTTTTTTTTTTCTTTTTTGTCGGTTGTGGGGGCTGAACTCTTGAACTCTGGGCCTGGGCGCTGTCCCTCAGCTCTTCAGCTCAAGGCTAGCAACTTCCACTTGAGCCACAGTGCCACTTCTGGCTTTTTTCTGCTTAGGTGGTGCTGAGGAATCAAACCCAGGGCCTCATGCATGCGAGGCAAGCACTCTACCTCTGAGCCACCTTCCCAGCCTTTTTTTTTTTTTTTTTAATCTGAGACCAGGACTCAAACTTAGTACCTGACACTTTTGCTCATTGGCTAGCGCTCTAACAGCTGAACCACACCTCCAAACCCTTCCCTGTCATTTTTGCTACCCATGTCACAGATAGGAAAATAAAAATTCATAAAGCTTAGGCTACTGGTATTGCCATAGCTAGGGACCCAGAGCTGGAGCTCTTCCCAGGCTGCAGGAAACCAAACCCTCTTCATCCTCCTGGGCCTCACGGTGACCACAAGCAGAGAACCATGCAGGTACATGCTGGCCTTTCTGACAACAGACCACTCTAGTCTTTGATCTTTAGCTTAGAGTCCAAGGTCTCAGGACAAGGTAAGTTTTGTCCAGTGCCTTGTTACTTTATGAAGCTCTCTGACTTTCATGAACTTGTTTCCTCTTGAGCCAAAGGTGAAAAATAAAGACTTCACTTAGCTGGGCCTATAATCCTAGCTATTCAAGAAGCTATCATAAGGATTGCAGCTTAAAGCCAGTCTGAGCAGGAAAGTCTGTGAGACACTTTTTTTTTTGGTTGGTCGTGGGGCTTGAACTCTGGGCCTGAGTGCTGTCCCTCATCTCTTCAGCTCAAGGCAAGTGCTCTACCGCTTGAGCCACAGCACCACTTCCAGTTTTCTGGTGGTTTATTGGAGATAAGAGTCTCATGAACTTTCCTGCCCGGGCTGGCTTTGAACCCCAATCTTCAGATCTCAGCCTCCTGAGTAGCTAGGATTACAGGCATGAACCATCAGTGCCTGGCTTCTGTGAGACTCTTATCTCCATTTAACCACCAAAGCTGCAAGTGGATCTATGACTCAAGTGGTAGAACACAGTGCTGAACAGAAAAAGAGACAGTGCCCAGGCCCTGATTTCCAAGCCCCAGTACTGGTATACATGTGCATGCATACATGTGTGCAAGCACTCGCACACACACACACACACACACACACACCCATTCTGTCCCTAGACTGAATACATCCTCTCTCATGCATCTTCTCTATACCTCTTCCCTGCCCAGCTGAGCTCCCATCTCTGCCTCCTCAGCCTTCTTGTCTCTTCTAGACCATTTCATTCATTTCTAATGGACTTCATGGAACTATATGCCGTCCCTACCTACTTGTGATTGTGCCACCATCCACTCATGTCTTCCCCACCTTACCTCTGCTGATTGAGGCTCTTGGCTTCCCGTTGTCATTGGAGACTAACATGGTAGGGTTTGTGCTAAGTCCTACTTGTACTGTGTCCCATGCATAACCCCTGGTGATTGTCTCCCCACAGTCTTCCACTAAGAGCCTGCGGACCACCATTGGCGAGGCCTTCGAGCGCCTGCACCGGCTATTGCGAGAGCGGCAGAAGGCCATGCTGGAGGAGCTGGAGGCTGACACGGCCCGCACACTGACTGACATAGAGCAGAAGGTCCAGCGGTACAGCCAGCAGCTACGGAAGGTGCAGGAGGGCACCCAGATCCTGCAGGAGCGGCTGGCTGAGACAGACCGGCACACCTTTCTGGCAGGGGTAGCCTCCTTGTCTGAGCGGTAAGTGCCACCTGCTGCCTCTCCCAGCCCATGCGAAGAAATTGGGATGTGGGGGCTGGGCAGGTGGCTCAGTGGTAGAGCACTTGCCCTGCATGCATGAGGCCCTGGGTTCGATTCGTTGGCCCCATATAAGCAAAAAAAAGAAAAAAAAAGCTGGAAGTGGCGCTGTGGCTCAAGTGGTAGAGCGCTAGCCTTGAGCTGAAGAGCTGAGGGACAGCGCCCAGGCCCAGAGTTCAGGCCCCATGACCGGACCCCCCCCCAAAAAAAAAAAGAAATTGGGATGTGGGCAGTTGTGGGCAGTGGAGTGTGTCAGTGGAGAGCCATTTATTCATTCCTTCATCAATCATTTATGGGATATCTGCTATGAGCCAGAGTCTGTGTTGAAAGCTTTATTTATTTATATTATTCTCTGTATAATGTATGCTGTTGGTATTCTATAGGATAAGTGATTTGATTGTATTTATAATCTTATAGTGTATTATATTTATATTACATACAATTAGGTTGATATAGTATTCTATAATAATAGAATAATATATAATAATACAGTAATAGTGATGTGTTATAATAACTTTCTTAGCGGTAGTTACCACTGTCAACCCCATTTCATGCATGTGGAAACTGAGCTTCGAGATACCACATCAGGAGGCCAAGGTCCTTCAACAAGGTGACTGAGCAGGAATCAAAGGTTTCACACACAAACACACACACACACACACACCTTAGTTTTGGGGATCAACACTGAACACCAAAATCATGAGTTTGGTGTTGGCCATAAGCCAAGCCCCATGGTAAGCCTTTTGTTTGTTTGTTTGTTTGTGGGGTCTGAACTCTGGTCCTGGGCGCTGTCCCTGAGTTCTTCAGCTCAAGGCTAGCGCTCTACCACTTGAGCCACAGCTTCACTTCTGGCTTGTTTCTGCTTATGTGGTGCTGAGGAATTGAGCCCAGGGCCTTATTCATTCAAGGCAAGCATTTTACCACTAAGCCCCCTTCCCAGCCCCTGTGGTAAGCATTCAATGTATATTACACCATGGAATCTGTATAGCAAGCCTAGAAGGCAGGTGCTAGCCTAGTGCCCACTTGAAAGGTGCGAAGACCGAGGGTAATGGCTGGAGGGGTCAGAGGTGGTACCAGCAGACACTGGCATCTGAATCTGTGGATGTCTCACTAGTGACCTCACCCTTTGTCAGCCACCTCCAAAGTGGCCACAGGGCCCCAGAGTGTGGGAGGAATCCAGGCCTTAATGAACCATCTTTCTGCTGTCCTTTCAGACTCAAGGGGAAAATCCACGAGACCAACCTGACATACGAAGACTTCCCAACCTCTAAATACACAGGCCCCCTGCAGTACACCATCTGGAAGTCTCTGTTCCAGGACATCCATCCAGGTGAAACTCTCCCTGCTATCCCTAAGAGGGCCCAGAAAAACGTATGAATTACTATGGGCTGGACAGGATAGGCAAGGTTGGGATATGAGCGAAGTGCCTTGCCTTTGTCCTAGGGTCTGTTCTGGGCATCCACACAACCCCCCTGCTCGGCAAATCCCATCCTATGAGACAGGTTCTATTAGAAAACCCATCCTCCAAATGGAAATACAGATGTTCTTCCACTGATACCAGCTGGGGTTGGGGGGACAGCCGGGGAGCTTCGGAGGGGCTCACTGGCTTCCTGAGGTCACACAGCAGTCAGAGTTCTTACACCTCCCTGGATTCATTTTCACTCTACAAATAGTATTAGAACCCCGTAGAGGAGTCAAAGGGGACAAGCCAGAGATTCAAGTCTAGTGGGACAGGATAATGACAAGGGACTTACATGTGCCATGGAAGCTCAGAGGGAACAAGAGGCGAAAAGCAGGACAGGGAGGGGCCAGCGAAGCTCCGAATGATGCTTGAACTAGGAGCTGGAAGCTTGAGGGATGGATCTGCGGCTGGGGCATGGAGGATCCCAAGATGTTCATAATTGAGCCCGTGGAGGAACAGCAAGAGCCTGTGGCTATTGCTGAGGGTATAAGAGCTGAGATGCTCCCATGGATGCCAGGCCTCTTCTGATAGGTGGCTCCTACTGTGATTGATGTGAAAGGAAGTCTCTGGTTCTGGACCTTTGTTGACAAAGGGAGCAAGGGATGGGGAAGAGCCCATTTCCTGGCAGACGGGGTGGTGGTTCTAGGCTGTTGTCTAGGATTGGTTGCTGGGTGTTCCCATCCTGAGGAGTCCTACATGAGCCCAGTAGGATGAGGGCCATGCGTGGGAAAGCAGCAGTAAGCCAGGGAGGCAAGAATCCAGGCTCCCCTTCTCTTCTCATCCTGGACCCCAGGAACACCCCCACCCCCCCAAAAAAGCAGATAGTCTAGGAGCTCTCTATCTTAGTTGCCATCTGCTTCATCCCAGCTCAGAGAGGCAGTCTAGGGACCTCAACCTGGCATTCATAGTTCCTCTAAGACCTGGGCCTTGCGAACGTCTCATCCTCCATCTGTATCACACTGGCTCCATTGAGCCATCTTAAGGTTATAAGTGGGCTGTGATCTTTTTCCATGCATTTGTGTGTTCTGTTCTCTTTGCCTGGAGCTCTCTCCATCATTCTCAGTCTTACTGGCCAACTCTTACTCAACTTTGTCTTTTTAGGTGTGTGTGCTGCTGTTCTGAGGGCTTGAACTTAGGGCCTGAGTCCCTTAGCTTTTTCACTCAAGGCTGGTGCTCTACTATTTGAGACACAGCTCCACTTCCAGCTCTTTGGTGGTTAATTGGAGAAAAAGAGTCTCACAGACTTTCCTGCTCAGGTTGGTTTCAAAATATGATCCTCAGATCTCAGCCTTCTGAATAGCTAGGATTATATATGTGAGCCTCTGGCATCCAGCTGCCTTTTAGCTTTTAATCAGCTTGTCTGAGAAGCTTTTCTAGATTTGGGGGCTTGCTCTTTTGTTGTTGTCTGTCTCTGTCCTTTTCTTTGTCTCTCTGCTGCTCTGTCTCTGTGAGCTCTAAGCAATTATCAGTAACTGGGTCTGACTCAGCCTTACCATCCAGCACAGTCAAGGTTGGTTGATGAATGAAGAGTGGATTCAAGTCTAGCTTCTGCTTCTAGAATAGTGCCTAACATGGAATATGCTCAATGAATGATGGTGAAGTTGATTCCCATTCCACACAGCCTTGGACAGCCCTTCCACCTCAGAGCCTCAGTTTCTTCCTCTGAGTAAGAGATGCTGGTTCCTTTTCACCTCCCTCATCAGTGAGCAAACTGATAGGGAACTTGCTGATGTCTGCCTCAGCAACTCTCTCTGCCTCAGCACCACTGCCTTTGAGCCCTTGAGGTCCCTGACCTGCATAGAGCAGGGCCTCTTGCCTCATTTCACCAAATCCAAGTGTCGTGACATCTCCCAGTGTCCCTTGGGAAACAAACTTGAGACCATCCATGCCCCAGAAAATGCTGCCTGTCAAAGGGCCGAGGGAGCACAGGGTATGCCCCCAAACACCCTGCTCAGAGCAGAGGCCCCTGGGACATCAGATTGCTGGGCCCGCTGACTGGGCCCCTTCCTTTGTCTGTGGGGCCTGTAAAGTCACTCTGGCTCCTCTGCCAGCACCAGATGGGAGGGGTACCCCTGGGACCCAGCCTGTGGCTTATAAAAGCTTCCTGTCCCCTCCCCCCCATAGCGCAAAGCTTCCTACTGGATTGCTTATGAACTCCACTGAGCACCTGTCCTGTTCTCCATCAGCATCATCCCCTTCCCCCCCCCCCCCCCCAGCCCTCTTCCCACTGCCATCCTTCTACCTACCTGGCCTGATTACCCAGCTCCCAGACACTAATCCCTGCCATGGGCCAGCCTGCCCATTGTCCCAAGGACACTCGATACTGCTTCTCCTGCCACTCCTCTCCCTGCCCATCTGGATCCAATCATGGCTGACTCCCAGCGGGTTCTTGGCCCGCCCTCCTGATCCAAGGCAAAGTGCCCCAGGCTGAGCCTCAGTTTCCTCATCTGTGCAACAGGGATAGTCACATTTATTTCCCAGGGTAGGGATGGAAACAAATGAATTTATACATTTGTGATAATAATACTGTAACTGAGTAAACACTTGCTACTGGTTATTCTTCTCCTGAATCATCGGATGCTGAACAGACTTTCTGGGACCACAGGATAGACAGAACATGATGTAAGAAGACTTAGCTCAGGTTCCAATTTTGGTCCTCAGTTCACAGAGCAGCTTGAGCAAGTCCCTGAACTCAGAGATCCTCTGTTTCTCCCTCAAAAACAAAATAATAAGTGCAGTAATTTGTGCCCCTCAGGATTGCAATGGTGGTCCTCCTCACTAGGGGGGTGTGGAATTGTATGATGTTCCTGCCAGGCAGCTGAGGTCTGACAAAGTGGAAGGACTCAGGGAACAGACTTTAGGAAGGCCTGGGGAGAGAAGCTGCACATTTCCTGTACAGTTAGGCCCCTGCTGTCCCTGCCCCCCGCTGTCCTTGAGAACAAAGAAACACAAGCCACTTGCTGCCAAGTAGTGGGGTACTGTGTTGTGCTCTGAGAGGGCTCTTTCTGCTGCCTGGGTGGTGGTTGGGACAGAGAAATAAACACATCCTAAGGTCCCCACAGCCCTTATTCTTTCTGCCTTGTGGCCGGAGGTCTCAGGCTTCAAGAAAGGACATGCCTGGAGAACAGACAGGCCACCTCACACCGGACCTTTGTGTTTATGAATTCAGAGTCCCACAACTTGGAAATGAGTTCTGGCCTGGATAATGCTGAGCCCAGGGGACGGCCTTGGTTTCACAAGGTCAGCTGCGTCTACTGGGGGTGAATCATGAGCTGTGGGGATTGGCTTCTCTCTCAGGTCTGAAGGTTGTTATTCTTGCCAGATTTAGGGAGGGAAAAAGGAGATATGAGAAAATGGACCCGCTGATAATGATAAGGTGGGAGATCAGGTTCCAGACTAACCCTTGAGGTTGTAGGAGGTCCCTGAGAGCCAGGCTACACCCGTCTTATAAGAATTCTAGCCGGGTGCCGGTGGCTCATGCCTGCAATCCTCGCTACTCAGGAGGCTGAGATCTGAGGATCGCAGTTCAAAGCCAGCCCGGGCAGGAATATCCATGAAACTCTTTATCTCCAACAAACCACTCAGAAAACCAGAAGTGGTGCTCTGGCTCAATCGGTAGAGCACTAGCCTTGAGCTGAAGAGCTCAGGGACAGTGTGCCAGGCCCAGAGTTCAACACCTATGACCAACCAAAAAAAAAAAAAAGAATTCTAGCCCCCCTCCTTAGGAGACTAGCCCCTGGGGGTTTAGGGCTGTGATGGGTCACAAAAAGCCCTACCCTGCTTCACTTGCAGGACTGGCATAGTCAGGTTCCCCTGATTACCTGATCACTGCCTTCTAGAATTTTCCTCACTGCTCAGTGACTCCAGAAGTGGCCCATACTGCCCAACAATGGCTTAGGAGTCTGAGGCTTGTCTTCATGCTTTCTTGCCAGTCTCCCTGTGGTCCTTCCATCCTAAACTTCAAGGTTAGTGTGTTGTAACATCCTGGGCACCTGGGATGCAAGTCACATTCTCCCCAGCACTGAGAACTGCTGCTGCTTTTGCCGCTCCCCTCTCCGTTTGTAGACTGCTCTAGGGTTGCCTCTACCTCTGCCTGATTAGGGGATCCTCTCCATGGTCTCTGTCTCTGTCTCTATCTCTGTCCCTGTCCCTCTCTCCCTCCCCCCTTACACACACACACACATACACACACACACACACACACACACAAACCTCTCCCCACCCATGGGAATTCCCCACAATGCCTTGGGCCAGGAGCCTTCTGATGCTCACCAGCTGCACTGTTACCAGTCAGACCACAGGCAATTCATCCTTGGACTCACAGTCTTTTTCTCTAGGCTCCTTCTTTTGTGTCCCTTTATTCCCAGGGCTGGTTGTATCCTTACAGCCCTCTGAGTTCTAAGAGCAGGAGGAAAAAAGTGTGAAATGCAAGGCTAAATTTACTACTCCTGACAGGAAGAGGGGGATCTATCCGTCACCAGCTTGTTGTTAGTGTATGTAGGAATAGAAGCACAAGTCAGGAACTGGTTGCTGCTCCCTGTTGGGACAGTCCATCATACAGGTATTTGGAGAGCCACATTCCAGCCTGTGTCCTCATATTCCCACTCCCACAAATACAAAAGAACAGAGCTCCGGATGGAGAAGTCCTGAGGAACTGTGGCATGAGCCCTTCTGTCCACTTCTCCCCTCTCCAGCTCAGGACTGGAAATAGCTACTCCAGGCTACAGACATTGAAGTCCAGGATTCCCTCTACTGCTCTGGCTGGTCATCAGAATAAAGAGGAAGTGTAAACATAGATCTTGATAAGGGTTCTTGAGATGTTAGGATCAGACCTTTTATTTATTTATTTATTTATATTTTTTTTGGGTCTGGTCATGGGGCCTGAACTCTGGGCCTGGGCGCTGTCCCTCAGCTCTTCAGCTCAAGGCTAGCGCTCTACCACTTGAGCCACAGCGCCACTTCTGGCTTTTTTCTTTTTGCTTATGTGGTGCTGGGGAATTGAACCCAGGGCCTCAGGCATGCAAGGCAAGCACTCTACCACTGAGCCACCTTCCCAGCCCGGATCAGACCTTTTAATCCAGAATGGCCAGCCCACAGGCAGGTGACCCAGGCTGTACCTCTTCCCAACATCAAAGGATCAACTTATATCAGTAAGCATTTCTGGAGGGCCTGCCCCATGCAGGCTGTGTGCTGGCCAATGGACACACACAGATTGTTTACTTCCACAATGCGTGCACTCCTCGTGCAAATGAAGAAAGAGGTGAGCACAAGAGATGATGTCCCATACCAGGAAAGGAGCAAGACCAAGAAAGCTCAGGAATTCAGGGGGCATGCCTGCTGAGCAGTACAGTCCTTTTGAATTGAGCCTTGTAGGGTAATCACAATAGCAGAGAGGAGTTAGGGGGATAGTATGAGCAATGGCTTTGGGGCCTGAGTGGGGTGGGGCTGGTAGAAGGCACTGGGGCCAGATTGCTCGTGGCTCTGCTGGGTGTTGGTTGACCTGAGATCAGTCATGTTTCCTTCCCTGTGTCTTGGTTTTCCTTTCTATCAAGTGGAAGAGTTGACTGGGAATTAGTAATTTTCAGCTCTTCCAGACACATTGTATACTTCTCATTACAAAGAATTTGTGATGTCTCAAAGATGATACAATTATTGCACAGATATATATATATATATATAGTTACATGTATATATATTTATATACTGTAATGATAATGTAAAGGAGAAATAGAAGGAAATTATTATTTTTTTATTATTAATATTGTGTGTCACTGTGTAGAAACTCACTCAGAACCACCCTGGGAAATGTAACGGTGCTGCCAGGTGCTCATATTATAGGTCAAACACTATTCTACCTCATTTGCCACCCATACAGGGACATGGTCTCATTCACACAGATGTTGCCCTGGGAGATGTATTTACCATGAAGGCAGATAGTCCTTAATGAAATTGTAAACCAAAACCAAAAGAAAACAAAACAAAAAAATTCAGCCTTCCTCCAGCATGGTAGTTGCATTGCAGATGCTCAGTGTATATTAAAACTGAAAACTTATTTCACATTTATAAAGGAAATGGAATTATGTTATAGTTTTAGGTCATTATAAGAAAGCTTTCATCCACATGACGTTTGGACATCACTGGTAAGCTGGACAGTGAGCTAGTCCTTCAGTAGCACTGTCCTGTGTATTCTCGCACAGGGTCTTTGGCATCCCTGGGTCCCACCTGTGTCAAGAATAAACCTAAACACCTTTGCAGATTTCCAAATCAACCTCTAGGGGTCAGTAGCATCTGAATAATCTATGTTCTCTTCAGCTCTGAAATTCCTAATTCCAGACCTTCCACATCTATAAAATGACCATTCTGTACCTTTTCCATGCAGTGACCACACAGCCAGGTTCCTGCTTGCCTGTAGCTGAGAGCAAAGCTAGCAGACTTAAATACCCTTTCCATTTTACAGGGTGGGACGATGAGACCTAGACGGGTCAGGCTTCTATTCAGGGCCATGTGGTATGTCAGAGACCTTCCTGGGAGCATATGCCACAACCCTTCCCTGGAGGAGGCACTATAGTGTTCTCTCTACTGATGTGTTCATTCTCCACACCCCACAGTGCCTGCTGCCCTGACCCTGGATCCAGGTACTGCTCACCAGCGCCTGATCCTGTCTGATGACTGCACCATCGTGGCTTATGGGAACCTACACCCACAGCCGCTACAGGACTCACCAAAGCGCTTCGACGTCGAGGTGTCGGTGCTTGGTTCCGAGGCCTTCAGTAGTGGTGTCCACTACTGGGAGGTGGTGGTGGCAGAGAAGACCCAGTGGGTGATTGGGCTGGCACACGAAGCTGCCAGTCGCAAGGGCAGCATCCAGATTCAGCCAAGCCGTGGCTTCTACTGCATCGTCATGCATGATGGCAACCAGTACAGCGCCTGCACAGAGCCCTGGACACGGCTCAACGTCCGGGACAAGCTTGACAAGGTGGGTGTCTTTCTGGACTATGACCAGGGCCTGCTCATCTTCTATAATGCCGATGACATGTCCTGGCTCTACACCTTCCGTGAGAAGTTCCCTGGTAAGCTCTGCTCCTACTTCAGCCCTGGCCAGAGCCACGCCAATGGCAAGAATGTCCAGCCGTTGCGGATCAACACTGTACGCATCTAGTCCAGGCCTTCTGGGGCCACTACCACCAGCAAGCGCCCTTCCTAGCAGATGGGAGGCCTGGACTTGAGCCTACCACAGCCACTCTGAGACCTCAAGCTGGTGATTCATCCTCCAGCTGCCTTGTCCTGTCTTGTGACATGAAGATGGTATTCCATGTTTCTTAAACTCTCTCCCAGCATTGATGTTTTGTTGTCCTGACCTTGACATGGCCTCTCAGGGCAGCCTCTGCCTACCCTCACCCCCTGAGGACTCCTTCCCTCTGCCTCCCTCCTGTCCAGCTGCCCTGGCCTTGGGATGTTTATCAAATGTGGCCAATAGTTGGCAGCCTAAAATCCTCTTATGCTCATGGTCTAAAACTTGACTCTGACTAAGTCTTGACCCCAGCCTACAGTGGACATGGGCAGTAGCTGATCCTAGGGTTGCTTAAGAATACCTTCTGCCTACTTTGTATGAAGAGCTTGTGGTTCCTCTTTTCCCATGGTCTGAAAGTCTGAGATGACAATGCTGCTTCTGGAAGGCACCCAGTAGTTGAGCCCACATGTTAAGCTACCATGTCACTTTCCTGTCCACCACCTAAAGGCAGATTAAGGGCTCCCCAGAGGCTGAAATAGAGGCCATTAATTAAAGACACCTGAAGGACATGACATCACGGAATGATCAGTGTCCTCAGCAGTTCTGGACAAGGGCCCTCACCAGCCAGTCTCTGTGACCTGCTAGGAAGCAGAGAGACCACTAGGAGCAGCTGTTGGAGAGACTGTAGGCTGGAATGCTTTTCAGACTTGGCATCTCTCTCGCTTAGAACCCTACTGCAGAAACAAGAGCCACTTTAAGCTGGCTTAATTAGACAAGGATTTATTGCCAGCCCCCTGTGGCTTGCAAAATTATTCAAAGGGCTGAAGAAGCAGTCTTTGCTGAATGTCCAGAACAATTTCCAGCTGCCAGATTTACTGGGTCTCTCATGACCAGGAAAGCTGCTCCCATCTGTGGGAAGCCACTGACGGGAGAATTGCGCTCCCACTGCCACCGTCCCCACCAGTAAGTGGTTGTTCTGAAGCCTGCCTTTCTCCACTTAACTCAGGTCCCAAATACACATATCCACAGGGGATTCTGTTGGTGGAAACTTGAGTCAGAACCCCATCCTTAGCTGCAAAGGAATCTGGGAAAGGTAGTTTTCTTCTTTGCAGCCTCAGCCATACTAAAACAGGTGGCCACTGAACAAGTCCATCTGCACCTTTTGTCACAGCATACGACCATGAAGAACAAAGAAGAGTCTACCTTGAGGTATTGATTTTAAGGCGCACAGCCTGGAGGTGTACTGCTGTGACTAAAGGAACCCGAAGGACATGTATCACAGAATGATCAAAGTCCTCAGCAACTTCTAGACAAGGGCCCTCATCAGCCAGGCGTCTGGAACCTTCTAGGATGCAGAGAGGCTGGCAACTAGAGGTGAAAGTCCAAAAGTAAACCTGCAAGATCAAGACAAAATGTCTCCTCAGCCTTGGCTTCTCTAATCCTCGAGCTTCAGTTCTGTACTTGGGGGTGCCTGAACACACCCATCTTAAAAATGCCAGAAGAGCTAAGCTTGACTCTACTGCCACTCACTGGGGCCTCCTATGAGCCTCAACTCCCAGAATCTGGGCCACCTCCACCAGTATTTTTATTTAAACATTGCCCATTTTGTGAGCTATGGTCAATTTTTATTAAAGTTATAGGATGCCAGTGGTCATTCCCATTCATTCTGATAAACACAGAGGTCTGCCTACCTGTCCATGTAGAAACAATTAACATGACTACATTAGGCCAGTCTCTGGGTAATCCTATGGGGGAAATTCCATACTGCTTCTAACTAAACTTTTGAGGATGCTTCCAGTGATGACACCAGAACTGTGATCCCCTGAGTTTCAAAATGGAGCTTAAACCAGCCTTCATGGAATTGTGTGATTGTAAGTCAAATCTCAATTTGGGGCCAAGCTTCATGTGTCTCCATGATTCCCAGGGTAGATTTATGACAACCTTAGGAGATCTTGAGCAGGTCTTTCTACCTCACTGGGCTTCAATTTCCCTGTGTTTATTGAGACCGATTGTCAGCTTTTTTTTTTTTTTTTTGGTTGGTGGTGGGGTCTGAACTCTGGGCCTCAGTAGTGTCCCTCAGCTCTTCAGCTCAAGGCTAGCACTCTACCACTTGAGCCACAGCACCACTTCCAGCTTTTTTTTTTTCCTGTTTATGTGGTACTGAGGAATCAAACCCAGGGCCTCATGCATGCAAGGCAAGCACTCTACCACTGGGTTACCTTCCCAGCCCGGATTGTCAGGATTCTAATACCAATGGTCCAGGATTCTGTATTTCTAATGTTGGGTCCCACATCTTGGCCTGCCTGGTCCCTAACAAGGCCAGTATCTTTGGGTAGTTTTCTCTGGAGTGACAGTAAAGACAGAAAGCAACAGTTTAAGGCCTGTTTGCAACTCAATGTTCATCTCAGGGGCTCTGGGAACAGGCCTTCCCTCTTAGCCAGAGACTCCATCCCAGGAAGCTGACTGCTGAGATCTAGGCAGCACTCTGCTTCCTCCCCTCCTGCCTGAGTCCAGGCTCAGTTTACCCCCTTCTCCAACCAGTTCCTCTTACTTCTTACCACTTACCCCCACTGAAGTCAGTTGCAAAGGTTTGTAATAGGTTTAAATGCATGGGACTTCAGGGGAGGGAAGAAAAGAGCGGAGTACTGACCGAGGTGCTGAATGGATAGATCCTAACTGCCTACCAGGACATGTGTATTTCTCCTTACTGGAGGACCAATGCTTTTACCCAGGCTCTCTGGGAATCCTAAACCACATAAGAGGTCATAGAGACCAGAGCAGGAAGAAAGGTGGGGTGATACTACTCAGACACTCAACTGTCCAAAACTAGCAACAGACTGAAAAATGCTTTTATTCTGAAGTGTGTTCACTTGCCTGTTCCTTGTATTTGTGAAAATTATGTTTTTAATATCAATATAAAATACAGAAGTCCTCTGTCTGCTCTCAAATTTTCATAAATTCTTATTTCTGACTATTCTAAAATATTATATTCTCTTCCTGGGAGTCGAGTAAAGTAAGGGAAGGTTGACATTTTGGCCCAGAGCCCCAGCCGTAGGAGCTCCCTATCGTGGTGCCACAACAAAGGTAGCCTATGGTGGGTACAGAAGTTAGAGGCATAAAGCCCCAGGTCCTGGTTAGCTTCCCCCAAAACATTGGGCCTCAGTGTGACCAAGTCTGTATATGAAAGCAGCTTGGGTGATTGATAGGTCCCTTAGATTAGGCAAACACTTTTCCCAACTTGCTCTAACTGTTCTTAAGTTAATTCACATCTAAGCTTCAATTTTCTAATTTGTCAGGAACTTTTTGAGTGTTTTAAGTATGGTTTTAATTTTTAATATGATTTTATTATTATTGTTGTTTATATGGTACTGAGGAATCTAACCTAAGGCCTCATGCACGCTAAGCAAGCACTCTACCACTAAGCCACATTCTTAGCCCTTAAGTATGTTTTTTTTAAATTAATTTATTTTTATTGTGAAAATACTGTACAGAGGAGTTACAATAAAGTAAAATGCCAAACATCTCCTCGGTAGAGCTCCTTCAAAGCCTCGTTTTGCTGTCAGAAAGATGTCATCTCCCAAGTATGAAATGACAGCGAAGGGAGAGCAGAGACGAGTCCTCTCACGTCCACCCGGCTTTCCGGTTCTTTAGGAACTTGCGGAAGTCGCAGACAGACCAGAATCCACTTCCGGTACAAGCGGGGCCTTCCGGTGGATTCCGTGTCACTTCTCCCCCCTCCCGCTCCCGCCCCGCCTTCCGCCCCCCACGCCGCTCTCGTCCCGGGTTGACCTCCTCCCCGCCGGAGCCCTCAGCGAAAGTTCCGTTTCCCATTGGAGGCGGAGCTGCCGCTGTAGCTTTCAACCAATGGCTTCCATTGGTTTTTATACTTAGGTCGGTTCCGCCTCCGGGTGGGCAGAGCGCGCAAGACCCTGTGGCGGCCCGGGGATGCGGAAGTGACGTCACGAAACAGGAAGCCGACGGAGTGAGAGACCGTGCGGGGCGACGCGGCTAGAAGCCGCGCAGGCATGGTTCCGTTCTGCGGTAATTAAGAGCATCGCTTCCATCCCCGAAAGTTGCGGGTCCTGAGCAGGAGGATGTGGGGGTTCCCCGCCTAAAGGAGTCGCTTTGCAACTCTCAGAAACACCCCCAGATCCACGGATGGAGGAAACGAAATCCATAGAGGGACGTCCAGACAGCCGAAGAGGACTTTCCAGGCCGGGTTGTCAGACTTAGCAAATAAAATGGAGACTCCAGCCAGGGTCCGGTGCTCACGCCTGTAATACTAGCTACTCAAGGAGCTGAGGGGCTGGGAAGGTGGCTCAGTGGTAGAGCGCTTGCCTTGCATGCATGAGGCCCTGGGTTCGATTCCTCAGCACCACATAAGCAAAAAGAAAAAAGCTGGAAGTGGTGCTGTGGCTCAAGTGGTAGAGTGCTAGCCTTGAGCTGAAGAGCTGAGAGACAGCGCCCAGGCCCAGAGTTCAGGCCCCACGACCGGACCCAAGGGGAAAAAAAAAAAAAAACAAAACCTCAAGGAGCTGAGATCTGAGGATCGCTGTTCAAAGCCAGCCTGGTCAGGAAAGTCTGTGAGACTCTTATCTCCAGTTAACCACAAGAAAACCAGAAGATGTGCTATGGCACAAAGTGATAGAGCGCTAACCTTGAGCGGAAATCTAGGCCTTGAGTTCAAGCCCCACAACCGACCAAAAAAAAAGACACCCAGTGAGAGCTGAACTTAAAACGAGTACTGTTTTAATATTTTAAAAAATACCCCAAATATTGCACAAGATAGATAAAAAGTATCCCTCATTCATCTAAGCAGAAATTTCAGAGTGTACCATATTTTTTTTAATCTGGCAATCTGACCCCAAGGTCACCCAGAGTTGAGGGTGTCTTATATACATGTATGTCTCTGGCCATAGGCTAGCTCACTAAATATCTTGAGCTGAGTCTTCCCAACTGTAACCCTGAGGTCACTGGCAACACTCCTCCCAGCTCTTCCAGTGGTCACTGCACAAACTGAGGATTATTCAAGAGCTAGGGAGAGGGGCCCAAGTGATTCCTTTCTGGGGGTGTAGGGCTACCTTTTACCCTATTAAAACTAGTTTGTTCAAGATACTGAGGAAGTGCAATATGAGAAAAGAGTAGGCAGGGATCTCAGGCAATTTAGTTTTTATTGGATCTCAGTGGGAATTAGCTAGAGGATTATGGCAGATGACTGACAGGATTGAGTCAGGTTTCAAAACATTAATCCTCTCTGACCCCTAGCAGGTAATTTTGCACAAATTTAGCTGTTCATCTCATAGATGCCAGGAAAGGAGTTTAAAATGCAGCGAAGGGCAGCATGAGCTGTCATGGACAAGTGGACTTCTTGAAGGTGAGGTAGAAAAGCAGTTCCTGCTCAGAGTCACCATCTCCCTTATGAGCAGGAGCAGAGAGGCAACTCATCCTTTCTGACCTCCATCAGGCTCCTTGGCTAGGCCTACCTCTCCCAGGCTGGGGGATAAAGGAAAAACATGGCACCATCAGGCCTTCTAAGGTCCTGTCATGCATGTGTTTCAGAAATATATAGTGCTCCATATTGCTCCAAATTGTCTCATTCAAGTTCTCAATGACTCCTGCCCTGTAGGTTCTTCGAAGTCTCATCTCTGCATTAGCAGTCTCTAGCACAGACCTAGCCCCGGTAAGAAATAAACATCCAGGCTGGGTGCCAGTGGCTCATGCCTATAATCCTAGCTACTCAAGAGGCTGAGAGCTGAGGATTGCTGTTTAAAGCCAGCCTGCACAGGAAAGTCTGTGAGACTTAATTCCAATAAACAACCAGAAAACAGGAAGTGACACTGTGGCTCAAGTGGTAGAGCACTAGCCTTGAGCTGAAGAGCTGAGGGACAGCTCCCAGGCCCAGAGTTCAAGCCCCACAATTGACGAAAAAAGAAATAAACAAACATCCAAGAAATGACTTTCCAGTGTCATTTATTAAGCATCTAATGATATATTAGGCACTGAGCTGAGTGCTTTCTACCCATCTTACTTAATAACTACCCGTTGAAGGAAATATATTGAGTAGCCACATTTTACAAATGAGTTAACAATTGGTTAAGAGCTATGTTTATTTATTTGGCATATACTTTTGAGCACCTGCTCTGTTTGGATGATGAGGATACAGAAGTGAAAAAATAAATAGGGTTCCTGCTGCCAAGGAGCTTACATTCTAGACAGGATGACAGATGATACACAGACAAACGTGAGTAGTAGTGATAGGTACAATATGAAAGAAAAGCCAGTTAATAGGAAAAAGAGACTTGGAAGTGGTGTTTTCTCAAAGGTGATCCAGGAAGACTTTGCCTGAGGAAAACATTTGAATAGAAGGACTTAAGTGAGTGACTGCCACAGGAAAGACCATTCCAGAGGGAGGGGAGAGTAAATGCAAAACCAGCAGTGGGATGTGAGGAATGGAGAGGTCAGTGTGGCCAGGATTAGTGAGGGGGGAAGAGTGGGAGTCAGAGGTAGTTTGGTGAGGACTTTGTCATTCTTGGTGAAATGGAGTCACAGGAGTGACGGATCTGGCTTCTGAATAAGGGTGGACTGAGAAGAGGAAGAAAGGACAAGCCCTGAGAGGGAAAGGTTCAGTGCCTGTCTGGAGTAAATAAGTCACATCGAGACCCCTGTACATAACTTTCTCAGAAAAGCAAATTTCAAATCCTTACCGCAAATAGCACAAGAAACACGGGAAAGGTTCCAGTGGGAGTGATCTGTTGAAGCTCCAGGTCAAGCTACTTGTCACTTCAAAAGTCACAGAAGGCCCTCAAGCGCCCAACCAAGTATTGAGTTACACCTGTAACTTGCCAACAGTTATCAGTTTCAAAGAAAACCCAATGTTTGGCCCCATTTCCACCACAAAGAAGAAGGAGGAGGAGGGTGGAGAGAGAGAGGAAAGGGAGAAGAAGGAAGAGGACGAGGAGGAGGGGGGAGAGGGGAAGGAGGAGAAAGGAGAAGGAGGAGGAGGAGGAGGAGGAGGAGGAAAAAAGCAGCTGTATGAATGGATTCAGCTGCTTGGAAGACATTTCAGAAACAGGCTCACAGGCAGAGCCCTGGAACCAGCATGGGAATATTTGGACAGCATGGTTCTGAGTGGTTACCAAAGAGACAAGAGACCTCTTTGTGTGCTGAGTCTCCTGATGTCCTGAGTACAAAAACGAGGCCCAACCTTGCAAATGGAGATGTTGCTCCTAATTTCCTCTCAACACATGGCACATGGCCTCATTAGATTACCTCAGCGCCATGTGCAGTAAGTGAAGCAGGGTGGCTAAGCCTGCCCTCAAGAAAATATGAAAACTATTGCGGTGAAATGTCCAGAAGAAGCAAATCTATAAAGATGGAAAGTGGATGTGTGTTGCCAGGGCTTGAGGATAGGGGAAAAGAGTGACAGCTGATGGGTAAGGAGCTTCTTTAGGGAGTTTCAGGTATAGAATTGGTAGTTGTGATAGTTGCACAACCAAATACACTGAAGACCATTCACTTTTATGCTTTAAAGGGCTAGATTTTTATGCTACTTGAGTTATATCTTTTTTTTTTCACTTAAAAATAAAAATGCTGGGTTCCAGTGGTTTGAACCTATAATCCTGCAACTCAAGAGGCTGAGATCTGAGGTTAGTGGTTCACAGCCAGTCTGGGCTGACTAATCTAAGCGACTCTTAGTCTCCAGTTAACCATCAAAAGGCCAGAACTGAAAGTGTGGTTCCAAAAGTAGAGAACAAGCTGTGAGTGGAAAAAGCCAAGCGAGAGTGAAAGACCCTGAGCTCAAGCCTCGTAGCAGCACAAAAAGAAAGCTAAGTAGATAAAAGAATTTAGGTTTCCCGTACAGCAGCTGAGGGCAATCTAAAATCTGATGTCTTTTTCTCAGCAGTTCATACTCTCAAGGTTCATAGCTTAGAATCCTGGCAGTATGAAAGAGACTTTGTCCTGGTAAGAACTGCTCATCTGAGGCGTGCCAGAGTGAGGCAGTGCCCACTGGCACTGGACACAACAAACTATGCCTGGCCTCATTCTAACACTCACTGCCTGAGAGCCAAACCAACCACAATATATTGGCATTACTCTACTGAAAGGACACAGGGCTTACTAAAACCTCCCAGAAGAAAAATGGGTTATGGGGCGGGGGTGCAATTCAACAGTAGACCACTTGCTTTTGGCATGCTCAAGGTCCAGCACCGCAAAACAAAAAAGCAATCTATGTGGACTCTGCCCCCTTTGCTCCACAGCTGTATCAAGTAATCAGTTTTCTTTGCTCTGAGCCAGACCTCAGGCTGAGTGGTGGGTAACACCGAGGCCACTAGCTTGTCATGAGCCCATGAAATGAAGCTGTTCTGACCCCTGCCTTGCCCCAACATCTCACCCTTCCTCAGGAGACCAGGCATAGAGGCCTGTGAAGAGGACAGGGGAAAATCGGGAGAGGTGGGTACCAATGGGAGATGCCACCCTGTAGACAGGGCTCAGAGCATGGCAGTACAGAAGTGGAAGTGCAGGGGTTCATTCATGGTGACTAGGGAAGTTTCTCCCAGGCCTGGCCCTGATTGCTTTGTGAATTGAACTTCCAGATTCCACTGGAATATTAAAAAAAACTACTAAATATTTATTTGTTTCATATTTACAAAGGTGGGAAGGAGACTAAGGAAGACCCCAAGAACACCCCCACACCTGACTGACCAGGCCCTTTGCGCTGCAGAGAAGGCAGACACGGATGGAAGGGACAGGATTTATGTTGCATACTTGAACTACAGCGAGTGTAAGACTGGTCCTATTTACAGGGCAGAAACACTACAGGTGGAGTGTGGGGGCAGCAGAGCAGGCACCAGAGTCCTGGCCAGAGGGTGCCTGCTCACCGCCTTCCCCACCTCTCCCAGAGGCATCTCCGCGGCCCCGCTGGGGTTCGGGGGTTGGGGGGGGGGGAGCAGGCCCGCTCACATGATGCTCGCTGGGGTGAAGGCAGGGCCCACACACAAGGTGTCTGTGATCTCCCAGCCGCAGGATAGAGGCTTGCACACGCCCTCAGCGTCCTGGTCTTCTTCTGTGGGCAGCAGCTGCCCTCGAAGTGCTTCCCTGGGGGCAAGAGACACACATAGTCCTGGCCCCATTGGGGGTGGGTTTGCCTCCAAGCCTCAATCCAAGGGTAGAGGCCAGGGAAGCCTGATGACCTGACCCCAGTGCCCAGAGAAAGGAACCTACATTTATTGTGCACTTTCTAAGTGTCTAATTACATCTTCCCCTGAACAATGGGAACCCCTCTTAGGGAAGCATTACCTCCTTTGTTTTACTGGAGAGGAATCTAAGGATCAAGAATAACTATGCAGCACCATGTTCCTAGCAGGGAGCAGAACTAGGATTCCAGTTTTCACATCCCAGTCCCCAGCCCCCAAACTTAAGGATTGTGAACAATTCATTCCCTTGAAGTAAGGTCAGGTCTGGCCAGTGCCATATTGGACACATAGTGGTTGGTAGGGTCCGGCATCTTGTCTTCAGACTGGGAGAAGGAAACACCCCCACCAGGCCCTTGGATGATAGGTTACTGAATCTGTCAGTCCAGTGCCTGGGACTGGGGATTTCCTGTGGACCTACTGCCTGCTTTGACCCTGTTTAGGCCCAGACCAACCCAGACGCCATTATGCCATACCATGTGTCTCTCTGTGGTCATGTCCTGTCTCCTGTTTTGTTTCCAGTCATTATGGCATTCCTACTCAGCTCTCCATCAGAGCTGAAGTGGTTTGCTGGTTTTTACTCTGTTTTTACTCTTCCTTTCCTCTCTAGCCTGTTTCCTGGCTGTGCTGTGTGTATTTGGGGGCTGCAGGCCTTTGTAATAACTGGCTGCCTGTAGCCTGCTAACTGTATAATAAGAGCTCCAATATTCCATTTTTCTGGGATAAGTCACCTTACAACACCCTGCTCCCTTCAGACAATCCCACACACAAATTCTCCTCCTCTGTCCCCTAATGAATAAAGAGCTCCAGTATGGGGCCAACTGCTCGGCCACCGCAGGAACTCTTGTCTCACACCCAGCCTAGCCCCAGCAAATCCAGACCCTGTTCCATTCACACTGCCAGCACAGGCTCTCTGACTGAATCTTAGCCTTTCCAGAGGGATCCAGCACTGATGCATCTTTCCAAAAGATAGACCCCTGCTCCTGAGTCGCCAGCTTCTCCCTCCATGCTGAGGCCCCAAGAGATCAACCCAGCCTACCTTGCCCTCATTCTATTCTGAGTGGCTCCAGATGCTATCCTGTCATTCAGTGGACCTTCTTGGGCCTGTACTGTGCTTGTCTCCTGCCTGTATCATCCAGCCCTCTCCCGACTAACTCCTCCTCTACTTCTAGATCTCAGCTTCAGTGACAGAGCTCAGGGGAGCCGAGACACCCCCAAAGACCCAAACACAGTGGGACTCATTCTGGAAACAACAAGATCTACTGGTTGTTCCCTGACATTGCTTCACCTACAGCAAAGTAGGGAAGACATCTGTGGCCCCCACTGCCAGTGTGCCAGGCAGCAAGCCACCACTAGACTGGGAAATGGTAGACGGTGGGTAGAGAAGGAGGGCTGGGTTCTATGTCAAGAGCCTGCCTTTGCTTCTGCTGGAATCTGCGTTTCCACAAGACCCTCCCTCTTCTATCCAGTGCTTCCCCTTAGTCCTTCTATACTTCAAGCATGTTCCAGTCCCACACTGGCAGGAAGGCCTTCCTCTCAGCTGATCTGTATAGATCAACAGCAAATTAGCAGTCAGGCTGGTGACCTTTGTGGGAGAGCTCCTTCTGTCTCAATCTCTATCTCCTTATCTTTAAACATGGCTTGGCCCCATTTCTTAAAAACCCTCAATGGGTCCTGACTCCCTTCAGGACTAAGTCCAATCTGTGCCCCTCACAGGTTAAAAAAAAAATGCAACTTTCCTGATGTCTTATCAGGACCTGGGGATCGGGGTTTGATAGTGTCCTGGGGCCTCAGGACACCGCGTGAAGTTTCAAATGTGCTCCTGTTCCCTTGGCCCTTCACTGCTAACCAGCTGTGGGATCTGTCAGGACAATTACATCACTTGGTGATAACATGGATCTTTTTAGAGTTTTGTGTAGTGAGAAGAAGAAACAGAAGCTACCTAATGTAAGATCTGACATCAGGGTTCCACAGGCATAACTCTTTATCTCCTACACCTCTGGCCTTACAGGATCCCAGTACCAGCTGGCAAAGCAGAGAGGGCTAGTGTTAGACTCATTTCTTAGATGAGAAAACTGAGGCTCGATGAGTAGAAACAAGCCTTTCCCAGGTCACAGAGCTGCCACCTGACCAGCCACCTCTGTCTATGCTTTAAAAAAATCATAAAGATGATTACAGAGGGGTACAGTCAGGTAGTGAGTATATTTCCTTTTGAACAGTGTCACCCCACACCCTTGTTCTCTCTGTTTTCCCTCTCCTGTCTCCCCTCCCCTCCGGGTTGTATAGTTCATCTCCAATATAATGTCTAGTGAATATCACTGCTGAATTGTCTATCTTTGCCCTCCTTAATGAACCCAGTATCTCCAGGGTGGTCTTTCTAGGTGTTAACTCAGTCCTTGCTTCCCACCACCCCAGCCCTTCACTGGGCCTCCAGGCCTTGCCTGCTACCTCCTCTCTGGTCATAGCCAACCTGAAACAGTACCTTGGATGAAACACACCACACTGAGTTCCTTCTGCCAGGACTTCTGTCTGCCCCTCCCACCTACTGCTGCCTACCACTTCCACCTGTTGAAGAACAGGCCTGGGCCTTGCAGAGAGCCACAGCCCTGCCCAGCACGGCATTATTCACAGAGCCGAGTTGTAAGCTTTTCATTCATGGCCCAGACCTCACCTAGAGCCAGCAGCCAGGGGCTCCCAGTCAAACTGGATTGCAGAGCAGCAGGGTCTCAGGTCCCCCCAGCTTCCCTATTGCCTCCCCGCCCCCATATCGCAGCAAGGCCTCCTTACCAGGCTACTCGGGACATGGCGTAGGTGATGCGGCAGGCCTGGGTCCCCCTGAGGAGAGACCCTGTGCCCACGGTGTAGGCGCCCATGTTGTCAAAGACTAGCCAGTCCCCTACGTGTAGTTGTGGCAGCCACAGGCCCTCAGCCACACAGTCATGGCTGTCGGCCGCCGGGCCCCACAGGCTGCTGCTATACAGGGGCTGCTCTGCAGCTGGTTTCTGTGGGAGACAAAGATGGTGTCAGCCCTCCTGCACATACCACAGCCTGGGCACTTCCTCCCCTAAATGCCTTCCATGGCTCCCTTAGCCAACAGGGTGAAGACTGTATGCCCTCTTAGGCTGGCATCCAAGGCCCTCCCCACTTCCCCAAATTTGTGGCCCCCTGCACTTGGCAGCCAGGTTCCAGCAGTTGCTAGCTGTGTGACCTTGGACAAGATAATCACTCTTTGCCTCAGTTTCCTCATTTGTAAAGTGTGAATGATAAATAGTACCTACTAGATATTCATAAGGCTAAGAAGACAGGTGAAGAAGATTCATTTCTTATTTTTTCATTTTAAGTAGTTTTTTAAGGAAAATAAATCATGCCTTTGTGTAGATATAAAATGCATATATGTCAAAGCTTTTAGTGACTCCATCAGTAAAGCAAACAGTAAGATATTACAACTGGTTCAAAGGAAAATTCAAAAGAAACCCACACATATACAGGTCATTAAGAAAAGCAAAATATATTTGCTTAATAGATGTAAAATTTTAAATCTTTTCAGTGTCTATAGGGCAATAATCAGCTGAATCCCAAAAGATAAAATTTGCATTTCTATGGGAGGAAATTATCTGCATTACCATAAGTATCATGTAATTTCCAATAACGTAAAATAATTCAGGGACAATAAAGGATAGAGACCCTACAGAATCAGATAATCTGGACAATATCCAGCCTTCCACTGAAGATAAACATATTTTCATCCATTTATCTAAGTCTTCTATAAAATTTACCTACAAATAATGCAAAATGGACTAAATCCCTGTGCCGCAATACATAACATCTGATGGAAAAAAACGAAGAAGAAAAAAATAAATGTAGCAACTGAATAGATGATAAGGAACATTGTATTTTTAATGTTTCCTAAATGACTTCCAGATCCAGAGAAGGTGTTTACGATACAGATCATTTCTGGACAAACCAGAGGTGCAGTTAGTCACAGTGTGGGGCCTCTGTCCAGGAGGCCCTCGAGGAAAGGTGAGCACCAAGGGACAAGATGTGCCCATCCCCATTCCACCTTCCACTGCATTCTCACTCCAGTAACAACAGCTTCCCTCTCCCAACCCTTTCCTTTAAAGCCCCAGGCTGTCCCCTGAGAACCTGAAATCTGCCACTTCCTACCTTTCCTGTAGATTCCAGAAGAGATAGGCTCTGGAAACCTTTCTTAAAGCTCTAAACTGTCCAAGTTTTATCTCTATAACACTTACTATAGTTAGTAATGAGACAGTTGTGTGGAATCTGGTTTGGCCTAAATTTCTTGACAAATTCAAAACTCTACAAGTCCAGGGATGGCATCAGTACAGGTCTTCCCCAACTCCTGTGGGCCTGGCAGTCCAGCACAAAGTAGATGCTCATTGTAATAGTTTTTGTGTGGGTATTGGGGCTTGAACTCAGGGCCTCATGTTCTTGTCCATTCACAATTGGTACTTTACCACTTGAGCCATGCCTCCACCTCCAGCATATTGCTGGCTATTTGAAGTTTTATAAAAGTCTCTCAGGATTTGTCTGCCCAGGCTGGCTTCCAACCATGATCCTCAGATCTCAGCCTCCTGAGTAGCTAAGTTTTAAAGGTATGAGCCACCAGTGCCTTGCTCACTGCAATATTTTTAAATGGACAGATGTTGAAAACAAGAAGGAAAAGAAAAAAGATATGAATTGAAGCCATAGAGAAGTCTAGAAGGAGGTAGTAAAGACCAAGGAGAAAAAAAAAGTCATTTTGACACCTTAGCAGGAACAGGAATTAATAAAACTGAGGGAAAAATATGTCTCAGCTTCTATAAGCAGAAATAACACTCACATATTTGAAAGTAGTTAATAAGAAATCGGTCCTACCCATAAAAAAAAAAAACAACATGCATTCATTACTCAATCTAAGAATGGAGCTAAAGGCAGTGGCAAGCACGTGTAATCCCACCTACTCAGGAGGCTAAAATTAAGAGGATTATGATTTAAGGCCAGCCCAGGTAAAAAGTTCAGGAGACCCTCATCTTAACAAAGAAAAGCTGGATATGATAGTGGGGGTTTATCCTCTAAGCTAAGGCAGGAAATGTAAACAAGAGAATCACAGTCCAGGATCACAGTCCAGGCTGACCTAGGAGAAAAAGCAAGACCCTATTCAAAAAATAATGAAAGCTAAAAGGGCTGGATGGCATGTATCATATGGTATAGCACCTGCCTATCACATGCAAAGCCCTGAGTTCAAACCCCAATATGCCCACAAGAAAAAAAGGGAACACTTCTATATTTTGACTTGTTCATTTACCAAGTCCTAATTGAGCATCTGCTATGTGCCAGGCTTTGGTACCAGAAGTGAAGATGCATCAGTGAGTGTGCATTCACAAAAAACTAAGGTTCGAAGCCGGGCGCTGGTGGCTCACGCCTGTAATCCTAGCTACTCAGGAGGCTGAGATCTGAGGATCACGGTTCAAAGCCAGCCCGGGCAGGAGAGACTGTGAGACTCCTATCTCCAATAAACCACCAGAAAACCAGAAGTGGCGCTGTAGCTCAAGTGGTAGAGAGCTCGCCTTGAGCTGAAGAGCTGAGGGACAGCGCCCAGGCCCAGAGTTCAAGCCCCATGGCCGACCAAAAAAAAAAAAAAAACAAAACTAAGGTTCCTATGCTTGTCAAGTTCCTGTTCCAGGAAGGGGAGAGAAACAAATACTGTTCATTTAACTTAATGTTCTTTTTGTTACAAGCTTTTGGATAATGAGTGAAATTAATCTTGCTTTCTCTGAATCATCTCCCTTAGCTGCCATCATTAAGAAACATTAAGCTAACATTTAAAGGTTTAGGAAAGAAACACTCTATAAATGTATCCACAAGGATGTTTAAGAAAACAGGCTTTAATATTCTCCCACAATAAAGAGAAAAGGCACCCTGGAGTTCTAATACATCAGCATTCTGTCATTTTTTTATTAGTGGTACAAATAAAATGTATAAAAATAAGATTTTAAAACTTTATGAAAAAGTAAAGCCAATCTACCCTTTTACTATTTTTTTTCCTTTTGGAAGTATTGGGGTTTGATCTCAGTCTCAAGCTTCCTAGGCAAAAAGTACCATTTGAGCTACACCTTCATCTTTAGTTTTTAGTTTAGGTTGTTTTTTTTTTTTTCCTTTTAGATAGGGTCTCATTCATTTGCCTGATCTGGTCTCAAACAAAAATCCTCCTTTCTCTGCTTCCTGTGTAGCTGGAATTATAGGCATATACCAGTATGCAAGGCTCCTTTTCACTATTTAAACCCACTATTTAAAAAAAAATATTCCAAAGCATATGACAACAAGGGTCTGGGAAGGCGGCTCAATGGTAGAGTGCTTGCCTTGCATACATGAGGCCCTGGGTTCAATTCCTCAGCACCACATACGTAGAAAAAGCCGGAAGCAGAGCTGTGGCTCAAGTGGTAGAGTGCCTTAAGCTGAAGAGCTGAGGGACAGCGTACAGGCCCAGAATTCAGACCCCAGGGCAAAAAAAAAAAAGATGATAATCTCAGCCTTGTTTACAAGTCTGACAACTGAAGGCAACTAAACAACATGCCTAATTATGTGCACGTTGGGCCCCTCGGTGAAAAGGGTCAGGGTTTCCTCATTTATAAAGCGTTCCCACTACAACTTCACATCCTATCTAAGAGGTAAGGCAGCACACTTGCACAACTGGTCTTAGAGATTAGAAAACTCAGAGGGGACATGACTTGCTGCAAGTTCTGACATAGTTATACGAACAGAATTCTGAGCCAGCACTAATCCAGTTACTTTCCTTTGAGGCCTAAAATGAGAATAGTTCCCCAGAAGAAATAAAATCAAACACTAAAACCATATAGGACCTAATACATTTCCTCATTAATCCCCCAACTTCTAAAAATAAATCAATAATTCCTAATAAATTTTGCATATATAAAGTGTTAAAAATATTTTTTAAAAAATGTGATGAACAAGGCAATATTAAAAAAGGGGGGGTTAATATAGAACCAAACCTTGTAATTAAAATCTCATTTAGAAAGCCAGGCCCTGGTAGCACTTCTGTAATCCTAGCTACTCAGGAGGCTGAGATCTGAGGATTGTAGTTTGAAGCTAGTCTGGGCAGGAAGGTCCATAAGACTCTTAATGTCCAATTAACAAGGAAAGAGCTAGGCTCTGAGTTCAAGCCCCAGTACTGGAACAAAAAAAAAAAAGAGAGAGAGAGAGAAAGATGGGTGCTGGTGGCTCATGCCTGTAATCCTAGCTACTCAGGAGGCTGAGGTCTGAGGATCACAGTTCAAAGCCAACCTGGGTAGAAAAGTCCATGAGACTCTTATCTCCAATTAGCCACCAAAAAAATGGAAGTGGTGCGGTGGCTCAAGTGGTAGAGCTCTTGCTTTGAGCTGAAGAGCTCAGGGACAGCACCCAGGCCCAGAGTTCTAGCCCTATGACCAACCTAAAAAGAAAAAGAGAAAAGTGGGAGGTATGGCTCAGTGGTAGAGTACCTGCCTAGCAAGTATGAGACCCTGAGGAAGGAAGGAAGGAAGGAAGGAAGGGAGGGAAGGGAGGGAGAAGGGAAGAAAAAAAACGGTGAAGTCCCTGCATGAAAATAACTTTTACAGAGGTTTTTAAAATCTTAGTAATTGAAGAAATGCAGTATAATCTTGAGTAGAAAGCCCTAACTATTGAAAATTTATAAAATTAACCTCTTGGAAAACAATATGTACTTATAATACTTTTTGGTGTGTCTGTGTCTGTGTGTGTGTGTGCCCCTACACAAGGCCTGGGCACTGCCTCTCAGTTTTAGTGCTCAAGGCTAGCTCTATATCACTTGAGTTACAGAGCTCCACTTCTGGCTTTTTGGTGGTTAACTGGGGATAAGAGTCTCATGGACTTTGCTGCCTGGGATGGCTTTGAACTGTGATCCTCAGATCTCAGCCTCCTAAGTAGCTAGAATTACAGGTGTGAGCCACCAGTGTCCAGATTGTAACACCTTTTAAAAAGAAGGAATCAAGATAAATTTTCAGAGTTATGTGCTACCAGTGAGATTTATAAATTCTTTAATTTTATTGTTTGTGCTAAATTTTCTCCAGTAAACATTCTATTTCCTTAACAAGAAACACTGGAGTAATGCATACATAATTTACAACTTGAATAACACAAGTGAGACAAATATCTTTACAACTTAGTTACTCAGAGTACAGTTAGAAACACATGATAGTGGGGCTGGGAAGGTGGCTCAGTGGTAGAGCGCTTGCCTTGCATGCCTGAGGCCCTGGGTTCGATTCCTCAGCACCACATAAGCAAAAAGAAAAAAGCCGAAAGTGGCGCTGTGGCTCAAGTGGTAGAGCGCTAGCCTTGAGCTGAAGAGCTGAGGGACAGCACCCAGGCCCAGAGTTCAGGCCCCACGACCAGACCCAAAAAAAAAACACACAAAAAAAAAACCACATGATAGTATAACATAATTGTATATCAGAATCACAAAACTAGAATAACAAATGAACAGATTGAAAAAACTATCAACTATCACATGAAACACACATGCAAACCCTTCCAAGATCTTCTCTATTTGTTTAAAAAATATAAAAAACAAAAGTCACTTTAAGACATCTCAAATTAAAAGAACAGAGCTGGGAATGTGCCTTAGTAGTAGAGTGCTTGCCTAGCATGCATGAAGTCCTGGGTTCGATTCCTTAGTACCACATAAACAGAAAAAGCCAGAAGTGGTGCTCTGGCTCAAGTGGTAGGAGTGCTAGCCTTAAGCAATAGAATCAGGGACAGTGCCCAGGCCATGAGTTCAAGCCCTAGGATTGGCAAGAAAAAATTAGAAGAACAGGGAATATAAAAAAAAAAAAAAGCCATTGAATTATCTTGCCCATGTAATTGTAACCCCTCGGTACAGTATTTTCACAATAAAAAATATTAAAAAAAATTGACATCAAAGCATACAAAACAATAACCAAAACAAAATGCTTTAGTTTATCAAAGACCTGCGTTGTGCTAAAATATGACCTTTCAGATACACTGTCCATCAATAAAAGGTCACAGGAGGCAATGCCTGTGAGCTTATTGTGAAAAAGGTACACGGGGTTACAGTACATATTAGACTAAGATTGTGGGAAGATCAGCTGGAAACACCTGGTAATAATTCAAGGACTCATCATATGAAAATAGTTTTTTAAATGAATACATTCATTCTACCATGTAGAATAAGCCATCTAGGCAGGAAGATTAGCAAAGAACACACAAGCAATATTCATGAGAATATTGGTGGAAGACTAATAAAAATAACATGAAAAAAAGAGAGCAATCAATGCTTAAATGCCCAATGATACAGCAACTTTATAGGAAGGTGTAGGTCTATAGGAAAAGAGTTAAGAGCTTTCTCTGGCACCAGACAGATAATCAGAGATGACTAAGCCATGAGCCCCCAAGGGCTCACAAGCTGTAGTTAACAAGCATCACCTCCTATTAAGGATGTGACTTTAAACAAGGTAACTCACCTTTTTGAACTCAGTTTTCTCAGTGTAAAATGATCCATAGGGTCTACTCTAAAGGATTTTGGCAAATGTGAAGAGAGTAATTGTCATGCCCAGTGCTTAGCACAGTACCTGCTACCATAGGTACACCCTAATGTTAGCCTTCACATATGTGTGGTGAAAAACACAAAGCCCTACCTGTGCATGCTGACAGAAAAGGGATTGTGATATGGAAGGACTTCCATCAGGGCAGAGTGTTGGAGAGGGTTTTACTTTTTTAAAACTTCTCTGAAGGTTTTTTTTTTTTTTTTTTGTCGGTTGTGGAGCCTGAACTCTGGGCCTGGGCGCTGTCCCTGAGCTCTTCAGCTCAAGGCTAGCGCTCTACCACTTGAACCAGTCACTTCCAGCTTTTTCTTCTTGTGTGGTGCTGAGGAATCGAACCCAGGGCCTCATGCATGCAAGGCAAGCGCTCTACCACTGAGCCATCTTCCCAGCCCTCCCTGAAGGTTTTAAGTTACTTACATAGTGTGTGTGTGTGTGTGTGTGTGTGTGTGTGTGTGTGTGTGTGTGTGTGTGTGTGTGTGTGTGTGTGTTGTGTCTGCGTGCGCGTGCCCATGGACCTGCATGTAAACATGGGTCAATCCTGAGACTTGAACTCAGGGCCTGGGCATTGTCCCTGAGGCTTTTGTTTGTTTGTTTGTTGTGCTCAAGGGGAGCACTCTACCACTTCTGGCTTTTTGGTGTTTAGTTGGAGATAAGAATCTCACAGACTTCCCTGCCCAGCTTGGCTTTGAATTGTAATCCTCATATCTCAGCCTCCTAAGTAGCTAGGATTACAGGTGCGAGCCACTGGCACCCAGCTAACGCAACCTTTCACACCATAAATCCAAAATCAAAGTCCTTGGGAAGGAAAAACAGGATCCCAAATCTGTTGTAACCATTGCTTTGAGTGTCTGACAGCCCAAAGGAGTAAACTGAGGTAGGTCACCCACAGAAGGCACAGCACAAACCACAAGGAACAGGAGCATCTTTCCTGGTACTCAAGCCAGAAAGGCCGTCTAGAGATTGGTTAAAGCGTAGCCCCTGGCAGGACAACTCACAAGTGGGTTGGGGCACTGGTAGGCAGGGACTAAGATCTACTCTTCTGAGCCGCTGATGAAAGGAATGGAGAGTGGAGTCAGAGATGGCACCAAATGAGAAGAGGGTGACAAGGAGGAGAGCTGCTGCCTGCTTACCAGCTGGGCTTGGCTGGCCCAGACTAGTCCAGTCCCTTTTTTGGTATGGTGTGGCCTGTTGGATATAGGATATATAAAGAATGTAGCCAGTAGGGTGTAGTGTGTCTGAGTAGAAAACTGAATAATCATATTTAATTATGGAATGAGGACCCACTATGTTGATGCATAATATCTAGGCCCCTAGAAGAAGTAGAGGGACACAGCCTCCCCCCCTCCCCCCCCATCCCCTGCCCCCTCTCCCCCCACAGAGAGATGAGGGGTAAGAAGAGCTCTCCCAGGAGAAGCTGATTTCAAAGACATAGAGCTATGAAAACACAACAACATAGCCAATTTTTCCCTCTTAAGATTCCCACTAAAGCCACTGGAAACCCAGGAATGTTTTGTTGTTTTGTTGTTCTTGTTCCCCTACCAATATGAAAAACTCATCACAGATTAACATTCTTTTACTTCTAGGAATTTACCCCCAGGGTAGTAACCAAAGTTGTATGTCCCCAGACTCACAAAGCTCAAAACAAGAAACCAAATGGCCAACCACTAGAGTCACATTGGTTGAAATACTATGTAGCAATGGAAAAACTTGTGAAAGATTAATGACTTGGAAATAATTACAATCCATATATATATGTATATATATATATATATATATTTATTTATATATATATACACACACACATATATATATTTCAGAACAATATGATCCCAACTTTATGAAAGCAAAATAAAATGAATTTTCTTTTTTCTTTTTTTTTTTTTGGGTCCGATCGTGGGGCCTGAACTCTGGTGGGCGCTGTCCCTTAGCTCTCCAGCTCAAGGCTAGTGCTCTACCACTTGAGCCACAACACCACTTCTGGCTTTTTTCTTTGCTTATGTGGTGCTGAGCAATCGACCCAGGGCCTCAGGCATGCAAGGCAAGCGTTCTACCACTGAGCCACCTTCCCAGCCCCTAAAATGAATTTTCTAAAAGAATAAAAGGAAATATAATATTTAACCTTGTTGTCTTTTTCTTTTTTTGAGAAAGGATCTCATTGTGAAGCCTAGATTGGCATCAAATACCAGACAAGATCCCCCTGCCTCAGCCTCCTGAAGATGGAGATTATAGGCATGCACCACACCTAGCCTCTTTCTGTCAATTTTTTTCTACTTTTTGAGGGAAGATTAACCCAGGGCCTCATGCACGTCAGGCAAGTGCTCTATGATTAAACTATATCCTCAGTCCTGTATCTAATTTTTAAAAAAGTAAAAATATGTGGCTTGGTGTGTAGCTCAGTGTTAGAATGCTTGCCTAGCATGTCAAGGCCTTAAGTTTGCTCCTCTGAAGAGAATGAACAGAATGAGATATAAGCACGAGATGTTATTGAAAGGCACACACACACACACACACACACACACAATGTAAAGAGACCCATAAGGGTAGGCTCACCTTTTGCAGGATGGGGGTAGGGCAGATGTTGTCAAACAGGACTGAGTTGAAGATCCCATACACGCCCTCATCAAGGTGGTACACAACTGTCTTGGGGGTGGAGCCATTTTCCTCTGCAGGGAAGGGAGGTGACAGGAGGAGTACAAGCAGAAAGCGAGGGGCCTGGCAGTAGGTCGCTGGAACCATGGTGGCTCAGCAAGAGCAACAGAGCTGCCTTTTCCTCACCAACGGCCATCATAGTGACAAGGGTTCACTGCCACAGTGGGAACACTGTCCTTTGCAGCCAAAACTCTCTGCCAGAACACACTCCTCTGCACCTGAGCCCCTAAAGGCTCCAGCAAAGGCAGAAGAGCAGGCCTGCCCAGACACAAGATTCCAAGAACGAAGCACATAACAGGAAATGCTATGAAACAAGAAGCCAGGTTTCCTGGCTCCTGGGCGGACTAGACAGGACAGTCTCCTAGGTCTATAGAGATGGCTAGACGAATGTCAATATGTGCACCCACATGTACACATGCATGTGCATGTGCTTGTGCACATACACACACACACACACACACATACACACACACACACACACCATTCTAACTAGAGCCCACCACCCCTCTACACAAGTTTATTATTTTCCCCCATCCCCCTCAGCTAAGAGACCAGATTCCCTGACACTTGCCACTCACAAGCTTCTGAAAGATCCTTCAGGTAGGTCTAATCTACCTGGAGCAGGCAAGGAGGAACACTGATGTTGGCAGTGTGGGGCACACAGTTCTGAGTCAGCATGCCCTGAACTTTATTCTTTACCAGTTGAATGACCTTGAGTTGGTGACTCAACCTCTCCCAACCTACATTCTGTCATCTGTAAAATGGACTTAAACAAATATAATGATTTTTGAGCCTGTACTTCACAGAGAAGATAGATATGGGGTCAAATGCAGGCTTCACCTCTGATTGGCTATTAATCATTTCACTTCTATTCCTTCTGACTCTGTTTCCCCATCTGTCAAATGGGATCAAAAGAGTATCTCACCTCCCTAATGTTCTGATCTCAACCTGCACAGAATTTGAACACACCTAGAGAAAAAATGCTAAATATTGTTTGAGGATGAGAAGGAAAGACAATACAGCTCCCTTCAGCAAGTCCTCTTACCCAGATTTCCCCAACCTGTCACTGCACCCAAAACCAGACACTGCTCACTACCCCCTACCCCTCTGTGGCCAGCCTCAGGGCAGAACAGGGCTCTGCAGCCCACCAAATACCTACCTTCCCTGCCGGGCTGGTCTAGGAGAATTTCCTTCTTGGCGATGATGCTGACTGCCACAGTAAAGGCGGAGGTCACATAGTAGCGTCCCAGCTCTGCAAGGATGTCCACACCACAGCCCTCAGGGAAGTATAGGTCCAAAGCTGAATTGATCACAGAACCAATCTGGTGGGGGTGGGGAACAATTGTGTGCTTGAAATGTGGTGTTTCTGCTGCAGACTTGCTACAGATCCAAGTCTATTTCTTGAGAGTTGTTTTGATTTTAGGAAGAACTTGGCAGCTGCTAAGGCCCAGCTGGTAACTGGGGACAGCTAGCCAGAAAGGCAGAAGGGGGACAGGGCTTGGTGGATACCCTCCTCAACACCCCACAATGGGAAGGGGCACTTACTGTAATGCTTGGGGACCAGATTCCAGAAGCCATGATGTAGATCATTCTTTCACAAATAACCAGTTAATAATACATTATAGAAAAAATTAAAATATAGATAAATAAAAAGATAAATGTTTCTAATTCTATTATCCAGATAAATCTAAACATTGTGGACTTTTTAAAAGAGTAGTTCTATTAATTATTTCTATGCCCAATATGCAAGCACAATTTTTATTATAAATATGATGGGAACTGTGTGCATATTCTTTTTTTTTTTTGGTCAGTTGTGGGGCTTGAACTCTGGACCTGGGCGCTGTCCCTGAGCTCTTCAGATCAAGGCTAGTGCTCTTCCACTTGAGCCACAGTGCCACTTCTAGTTTTCAGGTAGCTAATTGAAGATATGAGTCTCACAGACATTCCTGCCCAGGCTAGCAGAGCCTCAGAGCTCAGCCTCCTGAGCAGCTAGGATTACAGGCATGAGCCACCAGTGCCTGGCTGTGTGTATATTCTTTTGTCATGGGTGTGTGTGTGTGTGTGTGTGTGTGTGTGTGTGTGTGTGTATGTGTGTGTGTGTGTGTGTGTGTGTGTGTGTGTGTGTGTGAAGTATGAGCCAGCGTGGATTGAATTCAGAGCCTGAGCACTGTTCCTTAGCTTTTCTGCTCAAGGCTGGTGCTCTACCACTCAAGCCACAACTCTACTTCTGGCTTTTTGGTGGTTAACTGGAGATAAGAGTCTCAAAGACTTCCTACCTAGGCTGGCTTTGAACTGTGATCTCAGCCTCCTCCATAGCTAGGATTACAGGAGTGAGCCATGAAGCTAATTATTTAGATCCTTTCCTGAATTGTCTCAGATGGTCAGTTCCTAAATGTGGAGATTTTAGAAGCAGCCTGTTTCTAAGGAGCTGTGCCCCTAGTAATTACAGTAGGGACTGCTATTGCACATTTTTCTTACCCTCATCTCACAGGTGGGTTTTCCTTTCTCTACTAGATTTCTCCCTAGCCTGTCAGAGGGTGAATAGGACATACTCAGATCCTCAAGGAGCATTGTCACATGCCCATATATTGGCTAAGCCTCATATAGGCTGGCTAAGTTCATGGGCTGGTGGTGTCAGGCAACTGAAACCTCTATGAGTTCCAGTTTACTCAGCGATAGCAACAGGATTAATAAGTGGTAACACAATCAAGGTAGGGCCTAAAATCATTCTACTCTCCCTGCCCTGAAACCTCTCCCCACTCCCTACCCAAAGAGCCCAGCAAGAGACTCCAGCCCAGGATTACCTCTTCAAGTCTCACTTTGGCTCCCTCTATGCCAGGGAAGCCACCACCAAGGTCCAGAATGTGCATCGTGTGGCCCAGCTCGGCACCCATTTGAAACACAAGCCGGGCATCTGCGATGGACTGAGCATAGGCCTGAGGGTCAGGACAGCCACTGCCAACATGAAAACTGGGAAGGGAAGAATAGTCTCAGAGCCCCAGGTGCCACCACCTCAGCCCTGAACAGATACATGGGACAATGTGCCCATGCTACAGGTACAGTGACTGACGCCTAACACATTAAATGGGTGGCAAAGAGCCATATGGCAAGTGAGGAATAGACAGGAGGCACTTGGTGCTCCTTCTACCCTTCAATGCTTCCCTGAGAGAGAAACTTTTGGAAGGAGAGCCAGGGTATCCAGACTTGGAGTACCTGTCAGTGTAAGGCCTGGACAAGCCACCGAAGCTTGACCTTTACATGTCTCCCTCTCTACTAAGCAAGGATAAGTGCCTGTAGCACAGGCTGTGGAATGATGGAGATGAGACTCTCAGCAGTGTGGGAAGTAATAATGAATAAATGAATAATGAATAATGACTAAACTAAATAAATGAAGCTATATAATTGACCATTGTTATTCCATATCCTTGAAAAGAAAAAAAAAGAGGCAGTTCCAGAGCCTGGCTGTACAACCTTTGCCTATAAGCTGGTTCAACTCCCTCTAGGCCAGGTGTGGGAGGGGGACAGAGAGACTAGAGGGGGGGATGGAGAGGGGATGGAGGGATGGGGGGGCGGGATGGGCAAGACCTTCTGGATTGTGGGGCTAGGGCAGGGGAACATCTAGAAACTTCCTTTCAAAAAAGAGGAAATTCCCAACTGACAGAATTCCAGGCCCAACCTTTGGGGGAAAAGTTTTATGCAGCATGACTAATTCCCGGGAAAGAGACAGCGGGTGTGGTGTGGGTGGGAGTGGGGGAGGGCTCCCAGCGCACACCTCACACCCACCACCTCCATGTGGCTCTTCTTGGCATTTTCAAGCAGGTGTCTGCAGGATTTCAGTGGTGCCCCAAACTTCAAGCTCAGGCAGCTCAGGGAGCGAGAGTCATCAGTAGCAATGCACAGAACCATCCTGAGGAGACACAGTACATGGAAGAGGGTAAGCCCCACTTGTCCCACTCCTGCCACATCTCCTGAGAAACCAGGACTGTGAACCACATGGCTCGGGTCCTACTGGGCACACAGAAATCCTGCTCCCTCCTCTACCTATATATCAGTTAATCTCTAAGTCCTGTTCAACCCAGTCTCTAAACAACCCAGGACCCATTCCCATCGCCCCTGACCACCCCAGCCCCATCAGGTCTCCTCTAGACAGTCCAATCCTCCAAATTGGCTCCACTCCAAGCAGTTTTCAAACTCACAATGGATGAAGGGAATCAAAATCCCACAGTGGGCCCTAATGATGGAAGCTGCTTTGGGTGAACCAGAGTAGGCCACCATGCAACCTACCCCTGACCCTCTCTGGGTCCCCAGGGTGCCAAGGAAGCAGTAAAAGCCATAGCCAGAGCAAGATGACCAGTCTTAGACCATTCCAGAATCTATTTGCTTCAGGTACCTGCTCCATGGCCAGTGTGTCATCCATTGTGTCCCTTCCCCATAATGTGTACACACACACACACACACACACACACACACACACACACACACACACACACACACACACACACACACACACACACACACACACACACGGCACATTTGAGGCACAGCAAATTTCTGCTTATCCCTCTGATGCCCCCTGCTGTTCCTGACACCCATGCATCTGCTTCTGCAGCTTTCCATTTATGCCCTCCCCATGTTCTATTCATTCCTTGGGTCCCTTCACTCCACTGCCCTCACCCCCCCGACCGTTTGAGTAGTTCTTGGCTTACTTGGCACTGGGGTGGCTCCTCACCACCTTTGCCAGCTCCATCTCATTGTCGAAACTCAGCAGCTGTACCCCATGCTCGGCAGCATACCTGATCTGTGCAATTTGCTTACAGGGACTGGTGTAGATGATCTTACTGGCAGGGACACCAATACGCTGGACCAACTCCATCTCTGCCTGTGGGGTCCCAAGAACAGTGGTAAGAAGGTACCAGGGCCTATTGGACCATGGAGCACAACGAAGCACACATAAAGGGGTAAAGTCTTAGTTGCTACTGGGGAGGCCCCTAACAAATGGGTAGCCCTTTAGAGTCACAACCATTAGGACTTTATTGTGAGCCACCACTCTCTGACAGGCTACATACAGCACATGGGGAGTGCACTGCACAATTCCAGGGAGCCAGCTCACAGCAAATACGGGGCAAATAGACATTATTATAATTCCTTGGCCTTAAAACATCACATTCTAATGCTATGTGCCACCACTGGCTGACACCTATAATCCCAGCAACTTGAGAAGTTAAGATTGTTGAGATAGCAATTCTAGGCCTAGCTGGGCAGAAAAAAAAATCTATGAGACCTCCTTCTCAACAAAGAGCCAGGCAAGCTGGAGTGTTCCTATTAGCCTAGCTACCTATCTTACAAATTCTAACGAGGGTAGATTGCACTAAGGTACAATCCAGCAAAAATAACCAGCAAAAAATCAGGGCTGGAGACATGGGTCAGCAGTTAAGAGTATCTGCATAGGTAGCATGAGGCCCTAAGTTCAAATCCCAATACTGCCAAAAAAATCACATCCTAACAAAATCAGTATATTCATTATCAGATATCTTTTTAAAAGTCACCTATTAATCCTAGCTACTCAGAAGGCTAAGATCTCAGGATCACCATTTGAAGCCATCCCAGGCAGGTAAGTCTGTGAGACTCATCTCCACTAAACTACCAAAAATAAAGCTGGAAGTGGAGCTGTGTCTCATGTGATAGAGCACTAGCTTGAGCAAAAAGATCAAACCCCAGGACTGGTAGAAAGAAAGAAAGAAAGAAAGAAAGAAAGAAAGAAAGAAAGAAAGAAAGAAAGAAAGAAAGAAAGAAAGAAAGAAAGAAAGAAAGAAAGAAAGAAAGAAAGAAAGAAAGAAAGAAGAAGGAAGGAAGGAAGGAAGGAAGGAAGGAAGGAAGGAAGGAAGGAAAGAAAGGAAGAAGGGGCTGGGAAGATGGCTCAGTGGTAGAGCGCTTGTCTTGCATGCCTGAGCCCCTGGGTTCAATTCCTCAGCACCACATTCGCAAAAATGAAAAAAGCCAGAAGTGGCACTGTGGCTCAAGTGGTAGAGCGCTAGCCTTGAGCTGAAGAGCTGAGGGACAGCGCCCAGGCCCAGAGTTCAAGCCCCACGACCAGACCCCCCCTCCCAAAAAAAAAGAGAGAGAGAGAAAGAAAGAAAGAAAAGAAAGGAGGGAAGAAGGGACGGAGGAAGGGAGAGGGGGAGGGAGGGAGGAAGGAAGGAAGGAAGGAAGGAAGGAAGGAAGGAAGGAAGGAAGGAAGGAAAGAAATAAAAGGAAAATGTGGTATAGCTAGGCATAGTGGGAGGCTGAGGCAAGAGAATAGGGAGTTCAAGACCAGCCCAAGCCCATAGCAAGCTCAAGGCCAGCCTGAACTACACATGAGACTGTCTCAAAAATAGAAAAAAATAAACAGTAAAGAAAATAAAAATCTGGACTGGGAATATGGCTTAGTGGTAGAGTGCTTGCCTAGCATGCACTCAGTACCACATGAATAGAAAAAGCCAGAAGTGGTGCTATGGCTCAAGTGGTAGGATGCTAGTCTTGAGCAAATGAAGCTCAGGGACAGTGCCCAGGACTGGTGAAAGAAAGAAGGAAAGAAAGAAAAGAAATAAAGGAAGGAAAGAAAGAGAAAAAAAGAAAAGGAAAAAAAAGCTAAATAAAAGAACTAGGCCTGTGATTCATATTTTGAATCCTAGGTACTTGGGAAACATAAATCAGAAGGCTCAAGGTTCAAGGCCAGCCCAGGCAGAGTTAGCAAGCCCCTATCTCAAGCAATAATTTGAGTATAATGATATGCACTTGTGATCCTATGTGATAAATTTGAACAGGAGGATCGCTATCCACTGTAGCCTAAGCAAAAATGAGACTCTATTTGGAAAATTACTAAAGTACAAAGGACTTGGGATATTGTTTAAGTGGTAGCGTGCCTGCCTGGAAAATATGAAGCTTTGGACTCAAACCCTAGTGCTCACAAAAAAAAAAAAAAAAAAAAAAAGGCGGGGGGAGGGGGAGGGGGAGAAGGAATAAAGAAAGGTAAAAAAAAAACAACAAGGTAGTACAGGGTCAGGAAGGTGGCCTAGTGGTAGAGTGCTTGCTTCGCATACATGAAGCCCTGGGTTCAATTCCTCAGCACCACATACACAGAAAAAGCCAGAAGTGAGGCTATGGCTCAAAGTGGTAGAGTGCTAGCCTTGAGCAAAAGAAGTTCAGGGTCAGCGCCCAAGCCCTGAGTTCAAGTCCCAGGACTGGCAAAAGAAAAAAGAAAAAAAAAAAAGTAGTACATGCACACAATGGAATATTATATTTCACCTTGAAAAAGAAGAAAGTTCTGTCATCTGTGACAACATAAACGAATCTAGAGGAATATTAAATTAAGTGAAATAAGCCATACACAGAAAGACCAAAACTACATGATCTCACTTATATACAGAATCTACAAAGTCAAACTCAGAGAAGCAGAGTGGACAGTCATTGCCTGTTAGGGGAGGTGGAGTCATGAGGAGATGTGAGTAAATGAATATCCAGTTCCAGCTAGAAGGAATAAGTTTAGGACTGATCTTTACATGATAGTGACAATAGGTAGTAGCAGAGTACTACATATTTAGGAATTGCTAAAAACAAAGAACTTAGGTTTTCTCATCACAAAAATACAACAAAATGTGATTCATTCATGTGTCAATTTGATTTAGCCACTCAGCAACTTATCCATATATCAAAACATCATGTGTGAGCTAGGCACAGGCAGTTCACACCTATAATCCTAACTACTCTGAGATCTGAGGATCACAGTCTGTAGCCACTGGGAGCAGGAAAGTCTGTGAGATTCTTATCTCCAATAAACCATTCAGAAAAAGCTGGAAGTGATGCTGTGGCTCAAGTGGTAGAACGCTAGCCAAAGAAGCTCAGGGACAAACCCAGGCCCCAAGTTCAAGCCCCAGGACCAGAAAGAAAAAAGAAAAAAAAAACCAATCACCAAACATCATGTGCATACTACAAACATATAACTATTATTAACTTATTAAGTAAAGAAATCACAATGCTATTTGGTATACTTCAAAGTCTACAAGATGAAGAGTATTTCTGCCACAGATCAACTCAGTTCCCAAGGTCTGTGCTGTATGGGGAGCTGTGCTGGGTGAGTCCACACAGCCTTCTCCCCAGGGCTTCCTCTTCCTCCTCACCTTTCTGTGTTGTTTTGTTTTTGTTTTGTTTTTGTGCTGGTAGTGGGGCTTGAACTTGGGGCCTCATGCTCTCTCTTAGCTTTTTTGCTCAAAGCTGGAGCACTACACCACTTAAGTCATACCTCCACCTCCAGCATTTTGGTCATTCCCGGGAGAGGGGGAATGTAGTTGTGGAGCTGGGAGGGATGGTAGGGGAAAAACAAAGGAGGAGGCAACAATGCTTGATAAGAAATGTACTCATTACCTTGCTCATGTGATTGTAACCCCTCTGTACAGTATTTTCACAATAAAAAACTTATTTTTAAAAAAAGTCTCATAGACTTTCCTGCCTGGGTTGGCTTCCACCTGAAATCCTCAGATCTCTGCCTCCTGAGTAGCTAGAATTACAAATGTGAGCTGCTAGCATCTGGCTTGTTTATTTGTGGTGCCTAGGATGAATCCAGGGCCTCATGCATGCTAGGCAGATGCTCTACCCCCCCGAGCTCCACATCCAGCCTTTCCTCCCTTTATAGGACATGGTGCAGCTTGTTTTTTGCATTATAAGGCCAGAGATAATGAGGGGAGGGGTGTAGTCTCAGGAAGTTCCTCAATGCTAGAGAAAATTTTCTCTACAGGGCTCATGTTAATGTTGCAGGTTTTGCAAGCCATACAGTCTTTGCCATGACTACCTAACGGCCATGGTGGCATGAAAGCAACCACAGATGTGCCAAAGTGAATGTGCGTGGCTAGGATAGGACAAATCAGGGGAACACTGGATTTGCAACCTATTGGAATGGTATAAGCTCTATTCTACAGAGAAAGAAACATGCTAAGGCTATGAAGCAGCTACCTGGCAAAAGCAATGTCCATACCAAGGTCTGACTCACCACGAATAAGGAGACAAGTCAGGAGAGCCAGTCTTGAAACATGGTAGGAGACAGAAGAGCCATTTGTAACCACCCTAAGATGAATTTGGATTTGGTAACTTTTCAGCACCAGGTATTTATATGCATTATTTAATAACTCCTTTAAGTATCCTAGGAAGTATTATCTGGCCACATTTCACAGAGGAAAAACCTGTCTTGGGTCTGTTGCCTGTGATGACAGTCAATGAACAACATGGAGGACACAAATGCCCATCTCCAGGGTTGGACTTATGGCCATAAAGCTCACTTCCCTGAGGCAAATGTGCCCCCATCCAGAGTTTGGGTGATTTGGCAAATGTGTTTTTTGCACAGTGAGTGAAAAGAGCAATGATGGCACTGAGAGGCTGTGATTGGGCCTTGATTAGTAAATAAGCATATCATTCTAGGAAGGCTTACTATGTGTCACTCTTTGCACAGAAATTGCATCTACACTCTCATTCAATCTTCATAATCATATGAAGTGGGAAGCTGAGGCTAACAGAGGTTAAGTTACTACCCAGAGTTACACAGCTTATAATGGCATAGCTGAGAAAGTAACTGACAGATCTGTTTCCAGTGGCAGATATCTTTCGATCATCCATTGACCTGTATGATGCAAACAAGTGAAGAAAGCAGCCAGGGTCTTGGACTGTACACAGTGTTCAGGCTGTGGGGAATACCAGCAGTCAAAAATGGACTCTGATCCATGGCAGAATGACAAGTAGTCAAAAGTATGAAGGGAGGGTTTATGATGCAGTACAACAAAATGAGAGACAGGTGGACCAAGGTGTGATTGGAAGTGGGGGAAAGACAGTGCTGTGGGGGTCAGAACTTGAATGTGAGCCCTATGGGAAGCCTCAGTGGCGGGGGGGGGGGGGGGGGGGGGGGGGAGGGGAGAGTCTCGGGGGGGGGGGGAGCAGGCAGATCTGGAGCAATGTTCACGCTCATCCTAGGTACTACTTTAGTCTTTAAAACTGGGAGTGTATTTTATTATTAAGTACTTAAAAAAAAAAAAAGAATGTCCTGCTGAATGTTGATAAGAGAGATGAAGAAAATCAAGGACTGTCCTTCAGCCCAGGTCCAAATCCATCCACATCCACATGGGCAAAGCTCCAAAACCTGCTGGAACATGATGCACACCAGGAATGTTACAAAATCCCAAAATATTTTAAATACTTTCTCTGGACATTTTGTGTATTTTGAAGTGCTATATACCCACCAAACCCACGATGTGTGATTATCTATGGAGATATAAAGCTAGTGTTTCATTTTCTCTGTGGGTGAATGAATCCATGTATTAGTTGAATAGTTCACAATTACTGTTGAACATAAAGTATTTGTTGAATCCTAGAGGCTCCTGGGTACTTTTGATTAGAGGAAATTCGTTGGAGGAGTAAGAGTAGAGGCTGAGAAGCAGGGCTGAGTTTGGTAACAAGGAAGGAGTGTTTGTATTGGAGACAGCTGTTATCCAAGGAAGGCTTTTTTGTTGTTTTGTTTTTAAGTGGGAGAAGGGCAAGGGACCTAGGCAAAAAAGAGCAAGGGGTGGAGGTGGGTGAAATGGATGACACAAGTTACTCAGGAAAGAGGTCTGGTAAGCCAGCGTCCCTTTGCCAAGCTATAGCCTGTGTCTCTAGCCCTGGAGTCTGTCCAATGTGTGTCTGTCCTTCCATGAGCCTTAGATCAAGCCAAGCTCATTGGTCAACATCCAGAAAGCCGTGGTGCCATTATGCATGACCAATCACTAAAACTGGCCACAAGAGGGCAGACATACCCTATTAGAAAAAGTTCTAATTCAGGTACCTGGGGATGGAGCCCAGTGGGAAAGCATTTGCCTACCATATTCTCCAGCACAAGGGGCAAGGGAGTTCCAGGAGCCATCTCTTATCTTAGTAACTGCACCAAAAAGTCCGCATACCCCCACTCCAGGGATGGGGCTTAGGCCTCTTGCCCTTGATGTAAAATGAGGGCAAGGTGTCCCTCATTGGACAAGTGCCAGCTCAGCCACATCCTTCCTGAGGATCTTAGAAAAGACAACAGTAATAGAGGCTGAGAGGACCACATTGGTAAATTAAGGCTGTCACCTTTCACTGCATAACCCTAGTGAGTCACTCAATCTCTGCCTTCCCTTCTATGTTCAATGTATCTTCCCAGAACTGTTGTCTGAATCCCAGTAATCACCTCATGGGGTTTTTGCAAGAATAAAGTGAGATCATGCACAGAAAAGGCTTGGCAAAGTGCCAGGCCCAGCAGCTGCAGTCAACCAACAGTAGAAGCTTCTACTGTCCCCTACTGTCTTCAATGACTTCTATGCCCAATAGCTGTGCCCTTAGGAAGCCAGTCCCTGAGACTGGAGGACCAGCCATTCACCAGGATTCTACTTAGTGGGGTTTGGATACTGTCCCTTGTAACTCTGCAGGGAGGCCCACCAGGTCATGGAAGGCAGCAAAAGAGGGTAAAGCTCTGGCTCTGCAGAGTCTCCTCTGAGTGCCTCACAGATTTTCATGTAATAGACACATGAAACAAGTTGTAAGAAAGCCAGGGCCAGAAGAGGAGGCTCATAGACTATAAACAGCAAAGAGCAAAAGCATTCGGCCTTTGGCAAAGGTTAGTTTACACATTCTGAGCTTCTTATCTTATACACACTTGTCCCTCAGCTGTGGCTCCAGCCCTGTCATCCTTCCCTGGCTGGCTCTCCTCCCTTCTCCTCTGGGAATACTTCCTAGAACCCTCCTCACAACATCTAAGCCATACTACCAACTTGGGAGTTAAAAGGGGATTGCCTCAGAACCATCATGACAAGTTGTGAATGATGGCAGTGCCAATGTCACAAACCACTGCCTAGAGACTTGCTTCAACCTCAGGCTTCTATATCTATTAGTTCCTCTACCTGGCAGGCTCTTCCTTACTTCTCCACCTGGCTTGACCTCCTGATTCCTTTAGGTTTATATTCAAACCTGGCAAGCCTTCCTGGATCAAACTGTCATTCAGCATTCCCTGCTTCCCACCTATAACACTATACATTTTCACTGTCTGTTTATTCTTTAGAATACCAGCTCCAAGAAGGAAAGGCTTTTTTTAAATTGGTTTTATTCTAGCCTATATTCTCACCTAGTATATATTTGGCAGCATTATTTGCTTAGTGATTATTTGCTAAATGAATAAATGAGTCGTACCCAAAGCTGTACCTTGAGGAAACTTCATAGATCAAGGCTTTTTTTTTTTTTTTATCTAGTAAGGACCGAAGGAAAGTAGATGAACCAAGCATTCAACTCAAGGTCTGCCTGGCTCTACAGCAGTCCCTCCCCCAAGCAGAGTCAGCTACAACACCCTAGTTCAATGACTGCTGAGTCACAATATGTAAGCGAAGTCCACAAAAGACAGCAGTAAGAAATTAACCTCTAATTAACAGCAGAAATCAAGTTAGAATTTGCAGCAACAACAGCAATAGAACTGTACAAGGAGGGGCTGGGAAGGTGGCTCAGTGGTAGAGTGCTTGCCTTGCATGCATGAGGCCCTGGGTTCGATTCCTCAGCACCACGTAAGCAAAAAGAAAAAAGCCGGAAGTGGCGCTGTGGCTCAAGAGGTAGAGAGCTAGCCTTGAGCTGAAGAGCTGAGGGACAGTGCCCAGGCCCAGAGTTCAGGCCCCATGACTGGATCCCCCCAAAAAAGAATTGTACAAGGATTACTTAAGAAAAATACACATGGTTGATTATTTTAAAAAACAATAATTTAGAAGTATTTGTTTTAATTAAAATAGCATATATAGCTATTAAAACTTCCAACTGAATTTTTTTAAAGAAAAAAATTAAAACCTCTACTTTTTCTACTTAAGGATATACAGGATCCAATTTGGACCGTCAAGGCTGACAGATTTTATATGCTTTTCCTCCTCCTTCCTCCCTGCTGCCTCCTCCTGGTGGGTGGCCTTCCTAAAGGACAGTGGCCAACTGCAGGTCACTCTTGTTCCCCAGGATCCACCCACAGCAACAAGGCTACACTTGTCAGCGTTAATGGTCAGTGCATGGGTGGGGTCAGGAGCTCACCTTGTTAGCACAGCTGAAGCCCAGCCCCAGCTCAGCCAGGACCTTCAGCACACCCAGGCTGCTGTTGCACTTGACAGCGTAAAAGGGCCGGACTCGAGGCAGGCACTTCAGAAAGCAGAAATGCTTCCTCACTACAGCACCCAGGTCAGCCACGAAGAAGGCAGCAACCTTATCCTATACAAAAGGCATATGGATGTGAGACACATACCCCCCACACACACCCAGCTCCCTCCCTATAGATGCTCCCCCCCCCTCCCCCCAGTTCAGCTCTAGCCTGTTGTCATTGAAGGGGGAGGATGTTCCTCAAGCCTCCAGGAGGATAGAAGGCAAACTCCTCAGGCTGGAATTCAAGGCTCTGTAATCTTGCACTATAGACCTTCTTTACCAACACAGACAAAACTCATACTGGATCACATTGTCACCTCTAAGCCTTCTCTGCTGGGTTTAGAGAAATCCCAATCTACCTTCAAATTTCAGCTCAAATGCTTCTTCCTCAAGCCCAAAAGGCAAGTGGTCATGAAGGTTCTCAGGACTACTGTCCCGACTGCCCCCTCTCTGTTGTGGGGCTTGAACTCAGAGCCTGAGTGTTGTCCTTGAGCCTCTTTGTGCTCAAGGCTAGTGTTCTACCACTTGAGCCATAGCACCACTTTCATTTTTTTTGAGTGGTTGATTGGAGAGGAGTCTTGTTAATTGGAGATGAATCTCACAGGGACTTTTCTGCCCAGGCTGGCTTTGAACCATGATCCTCAGATCTCAGCCTCCTGAGTAGCTAGTAGTACAGGTGTGAGCCACTGGTGCCCGTCTAACTGTTGAATTTTTTGCTTTCAAAGCATATGTGTATTAGAATAGTATAGCCATCTGTCTGGTCCAGAAAAAGGTCAGTTTGGGGAAGGCAGAAGCTGTGGCCCACAACCCTCTGGAATTTACATACAAGTGCTCATCCCACTGCCACTGTGGTCAACTGGGCATCACAGAGTGGCTGACACTGAGTGTGAATGATGAAGAGGTGGATGAGACCATATTATCCAACCCTCCCTGTTGCACATTAACATATTTTTACTGGTATCCACTGGTGCCAGGGGTGATGGTAAGGGACAGAGAAGACCAGAGAGAGATCTAGCTCTAATTTGGGTCTGGAGGAACATAGACGCTTAACTAATTACAAGTCCCTTCAACAAATGCTAGGTTTGCACTTAAATAAAAGGTATTAGGGGCTATGGAAAAAGAAAATATAAAACCTCCTTGGGGCAGCCAAGATGTTGCAACACAGATGGGAAGTAAGGAACACTACAAATGGGTAAAGGGGAGAGGCCAGCAGAAGGATGCTCCAGACTAAGGGAACAGCCCCAGGCAAAGGCATGTGAATTAAGGGTATCTCATCACTGGGAAACATGAATGGAGCAGGGATGAGGCTGATGGAGACTTGATGAGGCAGACTTGATCCTGAAGCAATGGGGAACTGCCAAGGAATTCTGATTTTGAGGAGGGCTATGTATAATACAGTTGGAGGGGGTGGAATGAAACTGAGGTCAGAGGGCCCTTAGGGAGACTGGAACTGGGCTATAAAGATAAGTTCTATGTGAGTTGCTTGGAGGGTTATTTAAGGAAGTGGACTTCAGAGAGCTTGGTAATACCTAGAGATGAGGTGGGAGGCGGAGAGAGAGAATACACAGATTTCTGAACTGCAAAGTTAGGGGCTGTTCATCAAGGCAGGAGACTCGATGGATTTGGGGGCAAGGTCCAAGGAAGTGGAGATAAAACTAGCCTGTCTCTTGCAAAAGCAAAGGTTGCATGCTATATAAGTGAGTGTTATAGGATGAAGGGTCCTTTTCCAGAGGATTGGACAGATGCCCATCCCCACTCCCAGCTCCTCACCGTGGTGGCCTGGGAGGCCCCCAGAGTGAGCTCCTCCAGCAGGTCTCGGGTGCTGAAGCCCTCTTCCACCATCACAAAGTCCGATTCACTCAGGTAGCCTGCCATGCCGACCAGGAGCCACTGGCTGGATGGAGCCCCGGCAGCAACTGCCGCCTCAGCCGCCTTAGAAAGTATGCAACACACTGTGGGTGGGGGAGAGGAGGCTGAGATGGAAGAACCTTTACGCGCAGGCTCACCTCCCAATCTAGGCACACCCAATCCCCTCTTCCTCCCCTCCCCAGCACACACTTGGGAGGGGAGAGGGGGGCTAGGTTCACTGGGAGGAGTGGGGATGGGTCAGGAATCTTGGATTCCGCAATGGGATTGTATGCCTCCAGGTCACGCCAGCCCGAGCTCAGCTGCCCCATCTGTAAAAGGGATGGATGGATTCGGAGCTCCTTTCCAGTTCTAAAAGTCTGGATTGGAAAGGAAAGGATTAAACAACGGAGGAAGAAACCTGAGAAACCTAGGTGTGCAAGTTTCCAGGATGCCCCCCCTGGTCCTGGCTACGCCCACCTAAAGGGGGCGCCGGTGGCCCAGCCCAGAGATTCTCAGCCGAAGAACTGGAGCTGAGAGGTTGGCGAGCCCTCTCGGCAGCGTGACTGCTCTGGGGGCCTCAGTTTCCCGCTTGTAAACGATTGGTCCTGCCGTGCTACATCATTCTAAGCGTGCACGGTGGGGGGGGGGGGGGGTGGAGGGGTCGCCACACAGCGGGTGGGGTCCGCGGGCTCCCGGGCAAGGGCTGAAAGCCGAGGTTCTATCCGGGTAACCCCTCTCGAGTGCAGGGCGAAAGTCCCGCCCCGCCCCTCCCCCGAACCCCCTTACCAAGCCCCGTCCTCCTTCGCGGGGGCCAGAGCCAGGCGCGCTGCTAGGGGGGGTCGCCGGTGACCTCGAAACTTGTGCAACACCCCGAGGAGGAGTGGCAGTTGCGGAGCCGAGGCCCCTGCTGAGAGGGGGCAAAAGGGGCCCGGACACCGGTCAGCACCGGAGCCCCGGGCGCTCGCTCCCTGGGGTTCCCCAAGCCACTCCCTGCACTCGCCTTAAAACGCATTTACACGGCTTCGGCCCATAGGTCTCCCCAGCGAGTGAACCGGATCCTCGGCGCCTCCGCTCGCTCGCTCCCCCCGCCTCCGGCCCCGCGGCCTGCGCCCCGCGCGCCCAGCAGCCACCGACCCCACGCCCCGCCTTCCGCCCGCGGCCCGCTTATATAAGCCCCGCCCCGGCCCCGCCCCTCGCCTTCAGACCCCGCCTCCGCCTGCCCCGTATCCTTGGCAACCGGGTGCCGCCAGCCCATTGGTCGATTCGGACATAAAGCATTCAGCTGTGCGGGCCAGCTCGGCAAACCTGCGCCACAGACCTCGGCGTTGACCTCTCTGTGTAGATGTCCACGCTGGGAAATCGGGAACTGCCGGGCCGTCACCGATGAGTTCCGAGCGTCTGCGCGGATGGAAACCTGCGATCCTGCATCTTGGGTCTTCTTGGGAGAGCGCGCACGACGGCCACTCTGAATCCAGGAAGGCTTTTCCGTCACGGCAGAACTCTCTTGGCCTGGTGAAGTATTTGTTCCTCCCTCGAAGACCAAGTCGGATGTCATCTTATATTGTTTTCTATCTAATAAAATCAGTTTTTTAAATTCATGCTCCAGCGCTTAGGAGTTCACATAGTCTTTTTGTGAGTTTCCAGACTCAGGACGATCCATATTCACCGTCGTTAAGTAAAATGTGTCTCCTCCAAGAGACTGACTTCCTCGGCTCAAAGCATTTCTCTTCTTCAATGCCAACAAACTCCTGTTCATCCATCACAGTCCAATATAGTGTTGCCTCCTCTCTTAAGCCTTCCGTGGCTGTTCTAGCCCCAAGAGACGACATAACTCATAGCACTTATTTCTGCCAGGACATCTCACTCATTGGAGTCTCTACTTGTAGCTAAGGTTCCCGATGTTTTCCACTTCTTGTCATGATAACACTTCTTGGCTACTCTGTAAATTCCAAAGACAGGGATGAAACTTTATCTCCTTACGGTAGTAGAGGAGCCTGGGATACCTGAAAGTGCCCCGTGTGGTGGTGACCATGTAACCCCAACACTCAAGAGGATGAGTCCGAAAGGTCATGAACTGGAGGCCACCTGGGCTACATATCAGAACCATCTCAAAAAAATAAACAAGCTGAGGCCTGTAATACTAGCTACTCAGAAGGCTGAGATTTGAGGATTGAAGTTCAAAGTCAGCCTTCAGGAAAGTCCATGAGACTGTCTCCATGAGACTCCAATTAACTACCAAAAAGCTGGAAATTGAGATGGGGCTCAAGTGGTAGAGCACTGGCTTTGAGCACAAAAGCTCCGGGACAGGACCCAGGTCCTGAGTTCAAGCCCTAGGACTGGCACACACAAAAAAAATGCATCTGAACAGCTATTCAAGAACAGTGCCAGTGGCTCACACCTGTAATGCTACTCAGGAGGCTGAGATCTGAGGATTGTGTTTTGAAGCCAGCCTGGGCAGAAAGTCCATGAGAACCTTACCTCCAATAAACCATTCAGAAAAATCTGGAAGTAATGCTGTGGCTCAGTTGATAGAATACTAGCTTTGAGCCAAAGAGGTCAGGGACAGCGCCCAGGCCCAGAGTTCAAGCCCCAGGACAAGAAAAGGAAGAAAGAAGAAAAGAAGAAGGAGGAGGAGGAGGAGGAGGAGAAGTCAAAACATTCTTGGAGGGCTGAAAAGATAGCTCAGTGGTATAGTGCTTGCCTCACATGCATGAGGCCCTGGGTGCAATTTCTCAGCACCACATAAACAGAAAAGGCCAGAAGTGGCACTGTGGTTCAAGTAGTAGAGAGCTAGCCTTGAGCTGAAGAGCTGAGGGACAGCGCCCAGGCCCAGAGACAAAAAAAAAAATTCTTGGCTCAAGTGATAGAGTACTAGCCTTGAGCTGAAGTGCTCAAGCACCCATGACCAATGACCCATGATCAATAGAAAAAAAAATTATTGGAAAAGTAGAAAGAAGGAGCCAGGGATGTGGCTCAGTGGTAGAGGAGAAGAGAGGATAAAGGATCAGGAGGGGAAGGGAGAGGAAAAAAGATGAGGGAGGAAAAAAGAGAAAAAAGGGATTTCCTCTACTATATAGCACGAAAAGAAAAGAAACTACCAGTGGTGCCAAAGCACCAGTGGTTCATGCCTCTAATCCTAGCTATATAGAGAGAATAATAGGGGCTGATATCTAGAGGATCATGATCCAAAAATGGCTTGGACAGGAAAGTCCATGAGGCTCCATCTCCAATTAACCAGCAAAATGCCAGACTAGAGGTGTATCTCAAATGGTAAAGTGCCAGTAAAGCAAACTGAGTACAAAGCCCTGAGTTCTACCCTGACATTAGAAGAAGAAATAAAACCATGACATGTGAGCAAGAAGAGACAGCAATAGAATAGAACACTATGTCATCTTTCTATCTTGGAGGGTTTTTTTGTTGGTTGGTGGTTGGTTGGTCGTAGGGCTTGAACTCTGGGCTGGGATGCTGTCCCTCAGCTCTTCAGCTCAAGGTGAGCGCTCTACCACTTGAGCCACAGTGCCACTTCCAGTTTTCTGGTGGTTAATTGGAGATAAGAGTCTCATGGACTTTCCTGCCTGGGCTGGCTTTGAACAGTGATCCTCAGATTTCAGCCTACTGAGTAGCTAGGATTACAGGAATGAGCCACTGACGCCTGGCTTTGAAGGTTTTTTAAGATGGAAAAAAATGGTTTTGTGTGTGTGTGCGTGTGTGTGTGTGTGTGTGTGTGTGTGTGTGTGTGTGTGTGTGTTAATATGAGGACTTGAACTTAGGACCTCTTGCTCTTGTTTGGCTTTTTCTGCTCAAGGCACTTAAGCCACACCTCTATTTCCAGTATTTATTGGTTAATTAGAGATAAGAGTCTCACAGACTTTTTCTGCGAAGGCTGGCTTTGAGACAGGATCCTCAGATCTGAGCCTCCTGAGTATTTGGGATAACAAGAATGGGCCACTGATGCTTGGTTATTTAAAGATTTTCATATAAATATATAGACATACTATAGCAAGCATGCAAGCATATTAGCAATTACTATTAAGCAGAGAGCACAGTGATCAGGAACAGCTTTCATCCTTTAGATGTGGATAGCTCCAACCTCAAAAAGTCCTGAGGCTGCCAGGTATGGTGACTCCCTCCTATAATACCAGCACTGAAGAAGTTGAGACAGGAGGATGCTAAGTTCCAGACCAAATTGACTACATTGCAAATCTCTGCTTCTGTCTTCTGTGACTTCAGGGCCTCCGGTCACTGATGCTCTTGGGAGTTTGCAGTACTTACTGAGTACTTTTCTATGAGTTAATCTGGTGTCTTCCCTTGAAGTCCAGCCACTACTTTGGCCTTCTGCGGTTTTCTCTTTGTCTGGTCCTTTCATTCTTTATTCTGGCCTTATGCCCTATTCCAAGGCACATCTCCTCACATCTCACATCTCATTTAGTTGACAGACCAAAATTCCTGGTCACTGCTCATTAGGTGTATAAACTCAAATCAAAACATCTTTCTTGCAGGGTTGGCGATCAGTTGTTTGGCAACATCTATGCAGCATGTTTCTCAATAAATGTTTATTTACTTCTTTGTCTACCTCTCCCTATGGAATATATGGCATAATAATTCTAAAGTGGGTATGCTGACTTTATTGTTGTTGCTGTTCATTTGAGGCAGCGTCTTGCTATATATCCCAGAATGACCTGAAACTTGAAGTCCTCTTGATTTCACCTTTTACATGCTGGGGTTATAGGCATATACCACCATATTTGGTGGTATACTGTACTGACATTTAAAAGGGGGAACTAATCTTTCCTATTGAGACAGAGACTGCCAGTCATCACACATATCCACTCTCCCTTGCTTTCCTAGTATTTTGGCCTTATAGAGGTGAGAGGAACAGAAATACACTCAGCTAAAGCCTACATCTTCCACTTCCCTTGCAGCTAGATATGGCCAATTCTATCTATGTCTTGTCTATATGAAAAGAAGTGTTCAGTAGCAGTTTGGGTTGAATTGTGTCCTATCTCCCGTTGGGGGAAAAATGGATTCTAAGGCCCAGAAATACCAAGTGATTTGCCCACAATCACCCAGCAGGTAAGTGGCAGAGCCTAAACTCAAAACAGGGTTTTGTTAACTAGGGTCCTCTTAATAGAACGCAGGATCCCAGCTCTTGGAACCTTTGAGATCTAGTTATAAGTGGGGTATCTGTCTCTAGGCAGCCTGTCTATGCAGGAACAAAGGAGACAAAGTCCAAGTTGTTAACTGAATAGGGAATTGCCTTTATGGCCCTCTCCTGGACAAATATGCTTAGATGCTAAACTCTGTAGTTAGGGATTTTTGTTTTGTTTTATGCCAATACTAGGACTTAGACTCAAGGCTTGTGTTCTGTCCCTTAGTATTTTTCACTTAAGGCTGGTGCTCTACCACTTGAGCCACAGCCCCATGTCTAGCTTTTTGGTGGTTAATTGGAGATAACAATCTCACAGTGTTCCTGTCCAGGCTGGCTTTGAACTTCAGTCCTCTGACCTCAACCTCCTGAGTAGCTAGGATTATACATGTGAGCTACTGGCAGGATTTCTTTTTATTTTCATTCTCTTGGGGGCTACAAACAAATGTGAAAAACAGGTACAACATGTGACAGTTAAGGAATTCACATACTTTCCCTCCAACTAGACCTGAGTCACTTCTTACAACTTGATAAAACACACACACACACACACACACACACACACACACACACATGCCACTCAACTGAAAATACTTTCTACCCTGCTGTCTTCAGACCATCAGAGAACCCAGTGGATGAGCCTACTAGCTGGGCCTCTGTCCTGGTCTCCAGGGTTCTTTGTCTTTGATAGACATCAGAACCACCTGGGAAGCTTGTGAAGCCACAGAGCACACACACACACACACACACACACACACACACACACACCAAGTTTCTGATTCAGTTAGCTACACACACACACACACACACACACACACACACACCAAGTTTCTGATTCAGTTAGCTCCACAGATTTGCTGATGCTCCTGGCCTGGGAACCACCACCACCACCCTTCCCAGCATAAAAGACCTTGAAGTATGGCAGCAAATAGGTCAAAGCAATGCACCTTTGGAAGAAGTCATCAGCCAAGGGTGGTGGTATACATCTGTAGTCCCAGCACTAAAGAAG